TAAACCAGGTGGTGGTCAGATTTTCCAAGATTGCAGGCACCATGAATGAAACTCTTGGAAGGAACAGAGGTAATTTCAGGTCGATCAGCGTAAATGGATCACCGGTGACTCTGGTGGACTGGACGTCGATTACATTCTTTAAATTGAATTTACTACGTAGACTCTTGAATTTCCTTTTGAAAGATCTAGAACGTTCACGCGAGGATGATAAATTAATATTGAAGTCTCCCAATAAGATGATGTTGGATCGATTTCGCCATAAGTTTTCCATTACCGAGGAAAACTCTTGGAAGAAAGAAGAGCAGTCAGGGGGTCTGTAGACAGAACAAATCAATATTCGCTGGGAATATATCTCTTAATGGAGAGTCAAATCAATCCAGGCAGCTTCTAGAGATGAATTAGAGGACAATTCACTCAAATGGTGGGCATTTAGGGCTTCGGCAAAATAAATTAAGGATCTTCCACCTTTCCGAACGTCCTTCCTGTCACGTCTAGCGATTTTGTAGCCAGGAATATAATAATGGCGTTTTCAGTTCTGCAATGGAGATGAGTTTTGGTAATTGCCAAAACGTCAAAGTTTAAGGTAAGAAATAACACCTTAACTTCATGAATCTCGCCCAGAAGACCATTTAGATTCAGATGACCTAATTTATGGCCTTTGGAAGAAGACAATTCTCCATGCAGAGTTGAATAAAGTCGATCTGAAATATCTTTCGACTTTGCAGACTGAGACTAGGTGAGAGGGCCAGGATTTAAAAAGATGTCACCAGAAATAAATAAACGCATCTGTTGGAAGCTACTGGATGAATTTGCATAATATTGTAGCATAGAATAGTTAACTAGCTCTAACAGAAAATATTTTTCTCCTGCTAGTTATCAATTATTCAAGCGATTCTCGGCCATCTGCAAATGTCAAACAAATATAACACGACTACCGAATTGTTATCAGCTGGTTTATAAGCAGCTCATAACCGAAAAAAACTCTTTAAGGTAAGTTTCTCTGACTTCCAATATCTCTCCTCGCCTACTCCTCCCCCATCAAGATTTATAATGTGGATGCTATTTCTTTTACCTTTTTGTTATTTCTTTTCATTCTTAGTTTGCTTATTCAAGTGATATTGGATTCTTAGTGATCATTTACCACTACAATCTTTTATTACTTTAAGTTTTACAGTTTTAATTTTAAGATATAGGTCTCGAATCAATAATTTTGGTCACTTTTCAGGTTCAAACGAAATTAAAAGAAACATGAGGCCAGGGTGAAAAGGGAGTTACATTTCGCCTGGCTCATTTTCTTCACGATCTCGTCCATCAGACGTATCACTTCGGGAAACATCATAGCGGCAGACATTTCCTGAATCGAAAATTAAACTTGGACAGCAACTCCAACAACGATCACGAAAATGGCGAATTTGATCAACAGAGTCCACAAGACAGGTCAAAATACACGACATAAGGCTAAGACCTACTGCATAAGGCACAACAAAGACTAGGCCCTTAAGTAATAAACTTGTTGTGGAGATATCTCCCCGGGCTAACTTTATGGAATACGATCTAAACAGCACGTAGTCTCCGAAACCAATCGTTGTGAATGTTGTAAACCACGCGTACAGGCCTTCCATGAAAGTCCAGTGTTCAAGAAAAATCGTTGACACGCTAGCCAATATCATCAAAACAACCAAAAGTACGCATGCCACAAAAAATGTTTTCTTTTTCAGGTGTTTCAGCTCAACCCTTCTGAATAAAATGGTTTCTGTCTTGATGACAAGAAACCTAAAGAATGTTGCGCACAACTCTCCCAATGTTTTAAACGCCAACATGGTGATGGGAATGCCGAGCAGGCAGGCGTTGATAGTCACTCCACGCCCAAGGGACGTCTTGGGCGTGATGTGTCCGTAACCTTACAGAATAACAATAAAAAAAAAAAACAGAAATCATGCCATCATTGAACAGACAAGGAAAACCTCAAAAGAAATGCAGAACGACCTAATGTAGATTACGTAACAGCCTTGATTGGTCCTCTCAGGTCTATATTCTTAATCAAATACTTTATGGCTGAAGAACTCTGTAATTATATTTCGAAACTTTCGAAAAACACGTGTTAAATACAAGTTATTACTTCTACCATAATACTATGCAATATTACTCTGCAGTATTTTACTCTATGCAAGCGTGAGATAGCTTTTTGGCATGCACCCTTTACCAAACATTAGAGGTTGGCTAGTAATGAGGCCTAGCTCAAATCCTTACTGAAAACCTTACCTATGGTCGTGAAAGCTGCAAACACGTAGGCACAACTGTTCATGAAAGTCCAGTCAAGTTCTTCTCCAGCTGTCACTCCTGCGGATGCTTTCCTTAAAAAACTTTCAAAGTCTATGTCTGACATATTAACTTTATATTTGAGAGGAATTTCCGCTCTCAATTCGCGAAAAAGTCTTTTCATTTTGAGTTGTCTTGACTCCTCGTGACTTTCAATCAATGTGAAAACCCAGGCAACCAGCAAACCGAATCCGTGAAATAATACAACGCGCAGCAGAGCTTTTCCAAGAAGAGGATGCATGTTCTCCGACAAAATTCCTTGAAAATAATTAGTACAGTACGTTGTAATTATTACTACATCGAAACCATCAATCGGAATTTTGAGGTGCCATCGTAAAATGGCACGATTTAGATATGCATCCGTTGTTTAAACTGGTCTAGAGTATATGGTTTTCACATGTTTAACTGCCGTCATTTTAAAACTTTTTTCATATAATATTTAAATACCCTTTCAATGATTTATAATTCAAATTTTCTGATGAGCGAGGTTAAAACAATATTTTTAGAATGAAATTATCAATATCAAGATGTGAGCTTCTGGTAGCAATTAAATGGAGTCACGGAAATTCTGCAATTTTATTTTAAAATCTGCTTCCCTGTGATTCCTTTCAGGTTTGAGAGGAAACATCTATTATTTTCTAGAAAGAAAAATGAAAATTTCATTTGCTCTTAACTTACCGTAATTCTGGTTCATCGCCTAGTCTCTGGTTTATTTTTCACTGCATCCTGCGGATACACAACAATGCTTCGTTGGTCAAGAACCTCATAAATCATTGACAAAATCATATGAATTTACATATGAGTAAGACTGCTGCTACCCAGGTAGACAACGTTAATTTTGAATAATGGTTTCAAAACTGGCATAAATGAATCACCTGCTAAATGAAGTTTGTATGTCCACATTTACATTCTGTTTATTGATAGTGTTATGGTCTTTGCATCTTCATTATGCAGGCTGATTTTCGCTATCGCTTAGATAGTGCTCTTTACTGCGAGGATCGTGCACAAATACGTTTCTAAATATAACCGCAGTTCAGATATATGAATTCCATATAATTTGTTGTATTTGCTTTATCATGTTACGGGTTTATGTCGAATTATTTTGATAACCTGCTCCCAGTTGGCTTGTTAACTCAATTGGTAGAGCGCTGCACTAGTATCGCAGAGGTCGTGAAGTGAACACTTTATTTAAACACGATGGAGTATTCAGCTGGTGGGGTCGTGTATTTACAAATAAAAATAAGTTTTAAATTTAATTACGAACCTAGAGTTATGTTTAGATAATATGCTATGTACTAAGACTGTGAATTTAAAATCCTAAAAATAAATATAATCATGGTCTTTAAACTTGATTAAAGCGGCAATTGGATCGAAATTTATTTTTCTAGTGTCAAATTTTGAAAGTAGTCGCTTAAATTGGTTTAAGTTATTTGCCGCTGATTCTTTGCTGGAAAGGCTATTCCAAGTTATTGCTCCTCTAAATTTGATGGAGTTCCTCATAAAATTTGTCTCTGGGCTTGGGAGAACAATTTCTCCGTTCCTTCTACTTTCGCGGCTTGAGTTCCTCTCGACAAATAGGTCCTTAATTTCTGTGGCGTTGTATCCTTTTATTCATTTGAAGGTGAATTCCGCTAATCTGCCTTAGAAATTCTTTCAAAACTGTCTCATCGTGTCTGCATTCTGAAAACGTCTGTAGTTCTGGTGTCACATGATAATCCAAACACGATACGTCTGGCTCTCAATCAATCAATCAATCAATCAATCAATCAATCAATCAATATCAATAACAGTTTATTGTGAATATACACTTAGCCACAATAAAGGCAATAAAGGCATGTAGTTTTTCCAGATTGCTGAAGTGCGTCTTGTTGCACGATCCCCAAACAACTAGGCCATACGTAACCGATGGCAATATAACTTTTGTATAAAAATCCTCCAATTGCTTTCGGGGGAGAAATTGCGTTCGTCCAAGTAGACTCAGTTTAGACGCAAAAGACTTCGCGACATTTGTATCGTGATTTGACCAGGTCATCTTATTGTCGACATGCACTCCTAGAAGCCGTTCTGATGTTGTCCAATTAATAGTGTTATTTCTGAGACGCAAAGACTGGACTGGTCCAATGAAGGGTTACCGTTGCATGATCATTACCTTGCACTTGTCCGGGTGGGGTACCAATAGATTGTCGCACCATTTCTTCAAGTCTGCCAAAGCATTATTAAGCTTATTTGTTAATGCGTCGATGGTTTCTGCAACACAATATAGAGCTGTGTCGTCTGCGTACAAGTAAGTTTCTGCTGAACGTACGGACTTTGGGAGGTCGTTCGTGAATAAGGAAAATAAGGTAGGTCCCAGAACTGAGCCCTGGGGTACACCGTGCGGTATATGCTGTGAGTCGCATCCGTTCACTCAGTGACAAAATGTCTTCGTTCCCTAAGGTAGTGGCTCAGCTACAACCATATATCTCCTCTGATTCCAAGATCATTTAGCTTTTGTAATAATATATTGTGCGACATAGTGTCAAAGGCAGTGGTTCCAATCCCGTACAGGCCTGAATTTTTTCAGGTCTGATTTCCACTATTGCTTAAAAAGTGCTCTTTACTGCGAGGATCGTGCACAGATACGTACGTTTCTATATCCGCAGTTCAGATATATAAATTCCATATATTTGTTGCAATTGTATAGGAATGTTATTGTTAATTGCAAAATTCAAAGTGTTCCAGTCCTTACTTAGGAGGAAACCACCGGCGATATATTTTTGGAATTAAACTAACATACTTCCATGAACGACATTACGCGAGAGTTCATGGGTTCAAATCTATTACACACCTGACTTTTATCAGGCCCCATTTTCACCACTGCTCAAGAAGTGTTCATTACTGTGAAGATCGTATTGTTATTCATTTCCTTACCCGCAGTTCACTTATATGACTTTTATATATTCGCGGTCATTTAATCACCTTTCGGAAGCAAAAAATTATTTAAAAAAGATTCGATTTGTGTCAGTCATAGCTCATGACCACACTAATAAACAATCACAAAATATTTCAAATTCTTGTTTCCTGAGATCGTTCTACAATTCTCTTGTTGTCCTCTTTTGATTTTAAATAATTATTTGATTAAAGATTCATAGGGCACCGTAGAGACAAAAGGTAGCCAGAATACTCTAAACAAACCAGCAAAGTTATCTTAATTTCCACCAGGTTTCTTTTTATTAAGGGAATCACAAGTTACAATTCAAGGTTTTGCTGTGAAATTTCATGTTGATTAAATTATCATGATATCAGCAGATGCATTCCGCCGTAGGGAAACGAGTTGAAAGATTTTTTTAACGAAATCGTTTTATATATATTACTGGGGGTGAACTTGCAAAAGGGCGAAACCTCCATATACCCTCGGTAAAACTTATCACTCAGATTTTGAGTTTAATTCTTAATAGTTTTATAGTTTTATAATTTATTCTCTCACCATTATGTCCATTCATTTGGATTTAAGAATTTATATTCATATGTTAGTGTAAATTAGTATTGAAAATCCATTTTGGGAATTACTAATAAACGTGCTGTATTGTACGGACTAGTCAACATACGAATAACAAACAAAGAGCGAGAAACCACTTCTTGTTTCATAACAGCTGTCCTCAAACATTTCAAGGCTTAAAATGCATGATCCAAATTAGCCACACTTTTGCTTTTCATGTAAGAGCCACAATATGATAGGCATGCAGTTGTGTGCGCTACAGAGAAGTGATTATTTTCACAGGATGATTCATAATCTTTATTGTGTCCTGTTCTCATGTCGTAATTTTCACACCCTCGGCAGGAAAATATTTCCATATATTAGTAATCAAACTTGAGCAACAGCTAAAATAGCGATTACAGAAGTCCCTTATTTTATTCAAAGAGTCAAACGGTTCAAAATGCAGGAGTTGACACTGAACTCAACCAGCCATGGGTATTGCAAAGATCAGGCCTTGGATATTCATAACTGTTTCGGAGGCTTCTTCTCGGTGAAACTTTCTTTGAGTTGCCTCAAACGGATAATAGTCTCCTTGTAAACCAATTGTTGTAAAAGTAGTGAACCAAGTGTATGATCCGGTTTTAAAAACTCCATTCCTCTGCGCACAATATGTGAAGGGCAACCACTTGTACAACCGCAGCAAGGAACATATTCTTCTTGTCATGCTTTGGTTCACCTTTTTTGCGCAAAACTGTCTCTGTTTTGATAATCAGGTATCACAGTAACTCTGCAGTTTTGAAGGTCGACATGCTTATAGGAATTCCAAGAAGACAGAAAACGATTGTACGACCTCGGCCGAGACCTGTTTTGGGAGTTATATTTCACACTCTGGCAAGGAAAAGAAGAAACCTTTCTACTTCTTTAAGATAGAGAAGGTGATGGCATGGTAATTGTCGTCAAAAGAGGGACCCGAAAAAAAAAAGCAGGAAAGGCTGAAGTCTCAAATTAAACGATGTGATGTTTTAATAAGGACTCTAGGATACAATGCTCTTGATTATACAATGGCATTCCCCTTTAGAATAACATCGTAAACAGGGCCGGGAAAAACAATTCGCAGGAGTGCGGCAGTTTCTTCTCTTAGGCATCTTTAGCAGTTAGGACGGCAATGCCAAGGGAAACGATGATAAAAAAATGAGTTGATAATTTTTTTTGTAAAAAGCACACAGATAGCAGGAGGTGAATACCTTCTATCACTTCACCAGACCTTAACTTCAGTATAACACATCGAGCATTAAGAGAACGGAAAGGATTCGCTGACGGGGTTCTTGGTTCCTGTCTTGTTCTCAGACCGCGCATAGCTTGTTGGTTTCACATTGTTGTTTTGCAGAGCCATTGGTCTCCTCGTTAACCATTTGTTTAACCACCGTTCTCGTGGCCTTTTCCTCAGCTGTTTACTTCTCTTCCTTTTCTTAACCGATTCGCAGAAAATTCGAGACAACACTAATCTCATATATTAATCAGCTCCCAATTTCTGAATTACTCTACGAGGGTGATGACGAGGCAAGGAATTAATAATTGATTAAAACATGTATGAAAATGTAACCACTGATTTTTACTCTAAGAATTGTCTAATGCGTATAACTATTCAGGCCGTTATCTGAAAAAGCGCTTTTGGTTTTTCAATTCGGTTGCCTTAAGTCAGAAGAATTCACACATTGGTCATTGCCTTTGGCTAAAATAATCTAACCGCGCGGCTGACTGTGTTAATATAAGTAATAGTCTAGAGGTCAGAGGGCAAAAGTTTAATCTCATACACAGATCTCTCTTCGCCCAAAACAGAGATCTGGGTACGAGATCAGTTTAAAATTTCTTAGCGCTTTCACTAATGCCACGCAGAAACTACTTGATTTTGGCACTCAACGTGGTTTTGCTTCTTGCAGCATAGCTTGTGTCGCTTGCTTGAGTACAATTCTACGCAGCTGTCTATACAGCCACGACGAAACTGCCGAATCTGATCCACGGAATCCACAATGCAGCCCAGGATACATGACATGAGACTGAGGCCAATCATGGTGGGGAGGTACAGAACGCAGATGTGTATCACAAGATGAAACTTACTCTCCAGCCCTCCCTCTTTGTCCCTTAGAAGCGCCTCACAAGGGACATAGTCGCCGAATCCAATTGTTGTGAAAGTAGCAAACGACGCATAGAGGCTTTCCACATAATCCCACTTCTCCATGAACACGCCTGTGACACTTGTAGAGATATATAACACAAACATAAGGGCGCACGATGTAAAAAATTTTTTTGTTTTTACATTCTTCGGCTCTTCTCTTTTAAATAAATTGGTTTCTATTTTTATGACGAGATAGCGAATACAAGAAGCAAAGAGTTCTCCTGAAGTTTTGAAGGCCAACATGGTGATGAGAATACCAAGAAGGCAGACGGGAATTGTGATACCTTTGCCAAGCTCTGTTTTAGGTGTTATATTCCCATATCCTGAAATAGGAAGAAGGGATCTTACTTGCGCCACTCCAAACCATTTCAAATTTAAGAATTGTGCTGAGTTAAGAAGCTAGTCGCAAACACATGGGCAAATAATAATGCTAATAACAATAATAATAAAAATGATGATGATAAAAAACAAAACAAAACAAGAAAAAATAAAAATGCAAATTTACCACAATTAGCATTAATGTCGCAATCTGATTGGCCAAATTACCCTTGAAATTTTCACTGAAAGAATCGTTTTAAATGACGTCGATATTGTGGTAAAAAACAAATTCCCTCGCCATAGACTGGCCTCTCTCTCTTACCTATGGTGGTAAAAGCGACCAGGGCGAATGTGAAGCTGTTAAGCAAAGTCCAGTCCAGCTCATCCCCCTCTATCACAGCCGCCGCTGCACGATTTACAAAATTATCAAAGTCGTCATCGGTTAAGTTATAGTTCAGATTCATATCGAACCTGAGTTTTCTCAACGACTTCTCCATTCTTTCGAAAGCAGGTTCATCTCTCCTTTCAATCACGGTGAAAATCCAAGCTACTAAAATTGCGTAGGTGTGGAGGAATCCAAAGCGCAGCAATGATTTCTTCAGAAGTGGATGCATATTTCTTTAAAGAGAAACGAGTTTACTAAATTAAGTCCCGATCTACCTGAGTGTCTGAGAGTCCGATCCAATTGTTATATTTTTAACAATTATTCGCCGAAGGCAAGGTGAATATCGTCCAATAATCCCCGAGACGAAATTTGATATCAATTATTCATCAGCATTTTCACTTTCTTCAATGGATGGTGGATATTCATGTACTGTTACACTAAAATATTTTGTGCTTATGGTAGATTTACTTCAAATTTCTTGCATTGAGAAGCCTTGGATAACTTAAATCGTTGCCTGGATGTAATTCATGTGAATCTCGTATTTGGAATGTACTAAAGCAAATTCTCAAAAAGAGATTTCTCCACTTGAGCGTGATGGTTCCTATTAAAGGAAAATGTGTTTATAGCTGAAAAAATAATCAGTTTTACCAATAAGTGTTATAGCAAAGCAATTGCGGAAAACACTAAATTTTCATTGATTGCGTTGAATTAAGTTATCAAATTATTGAGCGTATTTCTTAAAAATCTTACCTAGTTGGCTTCTCGTTAGAGCAACTTCACCTGACATACGAGACTGAGCCCCTTTTTACACCAAGAACTCTCTGTTTCTCTTAAATGTTTTTTTTTTTAATTTTTTTATTTACACTGAGTGAATAAATAATGTAGACTTTTCCTATTCAAATGCATTGTATTTCCTATCAAGGCGAGGACAATTGGTGAATTCTCATTGAAAGTCAATTCACTCGCTGAATCTATGAATGTGGAACCAATAACGAGATGCTTTCTATTGTTTTAAAGAATAAAAGGAAATGTCTTATTGCTTTCGATGAAAATGCATAGAAAGAAATTCAGGAAAATTACTAACGTTTGTTTTCAGTATATATGCTACATAACTTTCCCCATTTGAAAGAGTAATCATTCTTGTGGAATATGAACCGCATGCACATAAAACATGAGAAGTTAGAATCGAATGAATGGCCGGAAGAGAAATACGCAACAACCTCAAAATTAATTTTCGCAGCTCATCAAGATAAAACTTTCATATTTGCTTTTACAAAGACAAACAATCAACGATTGCATTTATTCACAACTGAAAATCATTTGAAAATGTAGGGGGCGCCTCAAACAAAACATTTCTGCTTGAAACATGGAAATGCTCATAATTAAGTTTTAAATTTTTGTTTTTGTCTTTGGTTTGTTATTTTTCAATGCCTCTTCCTTTTCTCTTTTTTTTTGTTTTGTTGTTGCTTTGTTTTTGTTTTGGCTTCTCACTTTTATTCCCTTTTCTAAGGAGTTTGTATTCTGCGTCGATTTTTGATAGACCCCCCCGAGAAAAAAATGAATCTTTAGAGATTAGCGGGTCTATATATCCTGTTCTGCAATTGGCATTTGAACTCATTAAAACTATTTTGTTAGATTTTTCTTGAAAAATGAGCTTGGGGAAGATTATTAAAGACAAAAAGACGAAAAAGAAATAAATTTCGTTGATCTTCAAAGAACAGCTGGCATGGAAAGATGGTTCTAGGAAACTCGTTTTGTGACAGATGTTTCTAGCCACGCTATTCCAAGAAAATGAAGTGCCTCGTTCTAGAGACGCATTAATTGCAAGAATGAATATACATGATGTTCAGTGCAGTAACAACAAAAAATGAAAAGTCTGGGTATCCAAAAATATAGGTTTTCTGTTCAAATTGAAAGTTTTGTCCAAACCTGACAAAAAGTTATCATTTCTCCCATTTTTGAAGCTTTTATTCCGGGCGGGTAGCCGGTAGAAAGTGCGTCAATGCAATAGGACACCCACGCACTAACTTTTTTACTTCCACCTTTTCTTCAATAGAGGACATATGAAAACGACTTTAAAAGACTCCTATCTGTGAAATATCGAATAATAGCTTCCCATTTGTCCTTGTATTTTAACTCTCCTTTTTAAATATCATCAGTGTTTTTGAGCTTCTCCTCAAGTCATATTTACTGTTTATCCATGTACTCCATGGCATTTAAGCAATTTTACAATGTCATTATTTAAGTTTTTTTTAATTAGATAAGATTAGTTTAATAGATTTATTTCTACCAACGTTACCCTCTAAAATCAAATTGTACTTTTTCCTTTCACTTTTTTTAACCCTATAGGTACATGCATTTGGATCCTTATGGTATAAATGATTTCGTTTTAAACCATGCAAGGTTTGAGCATGTCTAATTCAAAATGAACTCTCTGCACATCTGTCACACAGTAGTTAACAAATCAGATTTTCATTAAAATAGAAATAATCAATTTCGAAAAGTTCCATGAAAAAATTCAATATTTGTGGTTCTTTTTCAATTTATAAGTGTGCAACAGAACGAAGGAGCACTTTTCTCTTCAACAGCCAATCGTCTGACACTTCTCGTGTCGTTGCTGGTAAGTGTGTGATTTTTTTTTTTTATAATGCTCAGCTTGCAGCGACAACGAGAACCTGTTGATTTTCAGGAGATGGAGGAAATAAGGAAAATTATCTGTTAGTTACTGAAAATTACAATCCCCTATTTTTCATTTATTTTATATGGATAAATGAAGGGAAAAATAGAAATTAGTAACAGGTAAAAAATGGGTTTCAACTTCAAGAGGGAAGTAGCCATTTTTCCGCATGGGCAAAAGATTCTTATCAATAGACAACAGTTTTAGTAAAGATTACGTAATCCAATGTCCCAAATTGCTTAGACTGACCATTCATTTCGGGTCACAATGATGACAACTATAAAATGATATTCTCTTGGCCATTGAAAAATGAGGGAAACGTGGTGTCCTGACGATTGCCACATGGACTGATGTGAGTGACATTTTAATAAAATACATACATTGCCTCTCTGCTTTTCAAGATAGATTTCAGTCGATTATCAGAGAACATTTATACAATATTAGGGTGAATGGAGGAGTGTTGCACCTATTTTTGTAACAGTTTTAAATATTGCTATAATGTTGTGGTTAAGTTCACATGTGAGGAAAGATTACTGTTGACGTCAAAATGAATAAATGGCCGTTGCTTAATACCAGTAGCGAAAATTCCGTTTTCTGGAATGGAATTCGTTTACAAAACCATTTAACAATTGGTTCATGCTTTAGCGTGCACTATCGAGTTATGGAGCACGCGGGAAGTTTGGAGAGCACGAAAGAAGCGTAAGAGTTGCCCGAGGCGATAGCCGAGGGCAACTCTAGCTTCTTGAGTGCTTTCCAAACTTCCCACGTGCTCCATAACTCGATAGTGCACAGCTGAAAGCATGAACCAATTGTTTTAGAACATAGCCGGTGGAATTGTGCATCAAATCCGACGCGAAAAACGGACAACAATATCAGTTGAAGCGAATCGTGACGGCGCTGATGCCGAGTCTCCTTTTCCTTTGTTTTTCTCTTTTTCTGCCTCATTTAAGAACTCTAGCCCATGGGAAAAGGTCGAAACATTGTCTTCGTTTTCGGACTAGCAGGGCGAGTTTCTTTTTGTATCCATTATTGTCGCGAAATGTATTATTTTTCCCCGCACTAGCAATGGTCGCTCGCGCGAACAAAAAAATTCTGGCGAAGTCGGATTTGCTGACGCTATCAGCGTACACTATCGGGATTTTGAGCACGCTTACGTATAATGAATTTGATTGCGCGACTCTGCTAGCTATGTTCTAATTGATTTTAAACAATAAATTAATTTCCAGTGGAATTTGTCTTCTCTTTCAGAAGTGGCAGTCGATCCTGAGATGGATTTTAGAATTATCAAATGGGTGATAACTCTCTTGGTATCATCAACGTAAGTACAGTGTCATTTTAACGATCTTCTTGTTCTCAGCGAAGAAGAAAAACATCTTAAAAACATGATTTCTCCTCTGGTTTGTTAATTGATATTTCTAAACATACTTGTCATTTTCCTGGTTATTCTACTTCTCTTTGGTTTACTTAAAACCGGTTTTTAATATCGAAAATATTAATTTTGTATCTTAATTTACCTTTCAGGACATACAAACAAACCAACGGTTGGTAGACCTTTCTCTTATCTTTAATTACCTGACTAACGTTAACGTTTGATGATGATCAAAAACAAGTGTATTGATATTTTTCTTTTTTCATCTCATTAATTCATTATTTCATCAAACAACTTACAGTGTAATCGGCCGTAAGCGCATGCCCTAAACCTAGATAAAGATAAGGTTTGATTAACTTTTCCAAGATGACAAGGAAATTCATAACAAGATATAAAATTTCCTAATTTTTAGGTAAATATAACTATTTGCTTTACAGAGATGACTTATCATCCTCGATATTAAAAAGGTTCTGTGGGTAAATAATTTCTCAGTATAGAATTTAAGCAAAATTCCGGTCCTTTGATGCAGTAGAACTCGATAATTTATAGAAAATTCAGCAAATTATGAGAAATATCAAATTTTGATCATTTCCGTTCCTAAGCCATAATGAAGACTGCTGAAACAGTCTAGTACCTAATTTGCGCTTAATTGGAGCAGGCTCTAATAGCTAATGGCTCTTTAAAAACCCTCAAATAAGTGGCGATGACTAGGGAGGTTATTCTACTTCGTTATACATTTTGTTCACCCAAGTTGTTGCTGCGAAAAAGGAAACGTTTTTCTTTATTTCTTCTTATTTGCATGATTCAAATCTAATGCTCTCTAATAATGTCTGACATGACAGGACATGACTACTGCCATAGCTATCACGTGATTAATGACAGGACGAGGGCTGCTAGTCTCCCAAGGGGCAACGTCCTTAGATGCGATCAGCGGGATATTCCAACCTCCAGATGGTACCGTTTCACTGGAGCGGCTGGCACGCAGATGCCAACTAAGTGTGTGCCCACTAACCGTTGCGGAACCCACGCGCCTGGCTGGCTCAGTACAGCGCATCCAACTAGAACTGGACAAATCATCAACGGCAAAGCTTGCTTTCACTGGTCCGGAAACTGCTGCCGGTGGTCGTCAAATATTATGATCAAGAGATGCAATGGCTTTTACATTTACAAGCTTGGTAAAACACCATGTTGTTACCTTCGTTTTTGTGGGAATGGAGGCTTTGGTGAGTTACGACTAGTTTTAAGACAACGAAAGCGATTTACTACGCTATATTTCAAATAATGTCAAGCAATTTTTTAGAAGGGAAGATGAGTAATTACGAAACACATAGATACACCTAATTGGACGCTTTAAACATCAGTTCATCCGTCGAAAGGTTTGAAAAATAATACTTTTCAAAACCTTGCATACGGATCTTATCATCAGTGCCCTACTGCTGAAAAAAATATAACTCTTAAATAATCAACGAGAAAATATGATATTTCTGAGTCAAAAACGTGACTGGTTTGTATGGCAAACACTGACTTCGAAGCAAAAGAAATCGTAGACATTTTGATCAGATTCTGCCAGGTCACTTGCGAATTTAACCAGTCACAATCAAGTTCGAGTTAAGAAATTAATCTTCAAGCCGTAAACTGAAAACCATTATTTTCTGCCGTTAAGTTTACTGAACATGCTGACGCTTAATTGTCGTGTTCCTTAAAACAAAGTAACATTCTATAAATATTTCTGGTGCTCATGGTTCTCTAGTTTCCTGATAAGGCCCACTAGGACACTGCACGGCGAGGTATGACTTTGCCGGTTCTAAGAATAAAATTATTGAACACTTATACTCTTCATCAGGGGACGATGGCTGCACTGACTATTTACAGTTAAACGATAGAACCAGAGCTGCCAGCGTTCCACGGGGAAATATCCTTAAATGTGACAAATATGACATGCCTGGGGAAGCAAAGTGGTACAGGTTCACTGGGGCATCAGGAAGTATGATGGCCACCTCCTGTGTTCCTAAGCATTACTGTGGAACGCATGCTCCGGGTTGGTTGAGTGGAGCCCACCCAACAAGTGTGGGGCAAACTGTCAACGCCAAAGTCTGTTTTCACTGGGGAGGAAGCTGCTGCAACTGGAATACCAATATTCAGATAAAAAAATGTCATGGGTTTTACGTTTACAAACTTCACAAGACCCCTGTTTGTTGGCTTCGCTACTGCGGAAACGCAGGATTCGGTATGTCAAACGCAGGATATTTGAAGTAGAAGTTTTCAAGTTTTCTTTTTGGTGCATCTTCTTAAAATCTTCCGACTCATAAGATCCAAACGAAAAACGAGGAAACAGTAAAAGACCACCAAAACTACAATGTCAGTACTTGCTATCTAAGTTTATGAGACTTGCATGGAGAAGAATAAACATCATGTGATTGACACGGTACTCATATTTTCTCTTTAAATAGATGTGTGCAAGGTAAGCAATCCGTGCAAGAATAGTGCCACGTGTGTTCCCAAAAATGGTGGCTACACATGCAACTGCAAGCCAGGGTATCATGGTGTCAACTGCGAGCACGGTAACTCCTTTACTCAATTGTAATCAGGTTAGAAAACCTTCAAGAGTTCTTAATTTCCTCTGACCTCAGAGGAAATCATTAGATAGAAGTGTACTACAGTATGCACTGGCTCAATAAGAAAAAGAATGAGCGTACTTCGGGTACCGGTAGGAAAGGTATAAAGTTCTCATTAGTCGATTTCGCGGTGACGTCTGCAACACGATTATACAACACAAAATAAAACGGATAATGGATAGGAAATTGGTACTGACGCGTAAAATAAAAGAACAAATCGAAAACATACTTAAATCGGCGCGCAATGCAACTGTTGAAAGACTTGCAATGTTAAAAACGGAAAACCTTTTGTCTATGAACAGATGTAAATGAATGCAACACTAGACCCTGCCGTAACGGTGGAACTTGTGAGAACCTACCAGGAAGTTACAGATGCAAATGCAAACCAGGATTTCTCGGGAAACACTGCGAGATCGGTAGGTTGATTTTGCAAAATGATTTTACAAAATGTGTTTCGTAAACACCTGTTTCTTGATTGGCCAAAATTTCATACTGAATATTTTCTAGGTATATTTGAATAGCTTATTGCATACTTGCGATCCTCACAAAGTTAACCTATGTCGGAACATTCCTTTCCTACAAAACTGATTGTCAAACCAATTTTCCTCACTATAAGCGCACGATGAATGCAAGCATTACCAAGTTCTCAGTGACAGGGAGCGAGCTGCAGGAGTTCACAGGGGAAACACCCTTAAGTGTGACCAAAGGGACCTTGTAACTCCCAAATGGTACAGGTTTACCGGAGCAGCTGGTACCCAGATGCCCACGTCATGTGTTCCTAAACATTACTGCGGAACCCATGCACCGGGCTGGCTAACTGGCTCACACCCGACAAGAGTTGGCGAAGTTGTAAACCGCAAAGTGTGTTTCCATTGGGGTTCTAATTGTTGCAGTTGGAGTGCAAGCGTTCAGATAAAGAGATGCAACGGGTTTTACGTGTACAAGTTGGTACGGACTCCTGTATGTTGGCTGCGGTATTGTGGAAATGCGGGCTTCAGTGAGTCATGTTCTTATACAAAGAAATAACACATTTGTATTGGAAAACTTTGGTTCTAGTGTAATTTTGCAAGTTTTTTGCTTATTATTTGAAACAAAAGGGCACACATTCTGTGTAAAGATACACGCCATGGGAAGCAAATGATTGCTCGTAATTAATAGTTCATTTTATAGTTGCGGACTTGGTTTCTAAGCCTTTGAAGAGGAGCGAGGCTAAGGGTGACCTTGTTTAAATACAAACGTTTCCGCTTTTCAAACGTAAATTACTCTGTTATCATGCTAACTAGTTACTGGTCTCTATCACAACTAGGTCACCTTCAGCCTCACTCCCAATCGAAGGCTTGGCAACTAAGTAACACATATGTCAATTGGCCTATTGTTCAACAGAGTCACCTTAAGTGATTCCGTTTCATAAGATATGTTCCGGAGATAACCGCATTCGTTTTCCCTCTTTTTTTTTTTTTTTTTACAAGATCCTTGTAGAACCAGCAGGCCGTGTCAAAATGGGGGCACATGTGTTAACCAGAATGGTGGTTATAAATGCAACTGCAAGCCTGGGTACCAAGGGATAAACTGCCAGCAAGGTTAAATAGACAGTGAATATTTAATCATCAACTATAACCCAGAAAGACACCGCTGAAAATGAACGGTTTGCTCAACTCAAATTGGCTATAGTCAATTGATCGTCGGACGGAACTCATCTCTTTTTCCCCAACCGATTTAATAACGTGTCCGTACTGTCATGCACCGTGAGGTTATATGTATTCCAAGTCAAGACTCAGTTGCGTGTTTTTTTTTGAAGACGACGCTTCCTTAGCAATCACTGTATAATTTTGTAAGAAAACTACAACAAGGAAACTTTGAGAACAAAAAAAGAAACGTTTAGAAAATATAAATTTGCTGATTAGTTTTGTTGGAGAAATCAGGCTCGCAGCTTGCGACGCTTGCACTTAGCAAACACATGATCGAAAGCGCTCCTCCCTTCGTGATCTCATTGCAGGAAGATAAAAAAGAAGAGCCTTGAGTCACTTCCTTCTAAAGACCATTGATACTAAATAAAACAAAATTCTTAACTATTGTAAAACACAAATTTTAACCGTAATTATGTTTTGGTTATTTTCTGCCAATAAGCGTCATATATTTTTTATGCAGGACTTTTTTTCAAAGAAGGTGTTTCATCGAACAAATGCGTTACTCTTATCGTTTTCAATTTTCAGATGTCAATGAGTGTCTTACGAGGCCTTGCCGTAATAGCGGGACTTGCGAGAACTTATCAGGAAGCTACAGATGCAAGTGTAAACCAGGATATCTTGGAAAACACTGCGAGATCGGTTTGTACTATCAACTTGAGTGTAGACTTCCCAGTTATCTATAAAATGAATCTTTTTTTTTGACATATTTTAAGTTATAGTCATTTGGCTATCTTTGCATCGGGCTCGTGTACATTCAGAAAAATGTGGTTGAGATGAAGGTTGTAAAGCGTAAATTCGTTATGTTAGGCCTATGCCAACGAAGAAAGTTTCCTTGTTTCATCCTTTTCATCCATGCTCGGGCTCATCTTATTTGTTTTCTGTTGGCCCAGTCTCATCTTATTAGACGACGTTACTATTCGGTAACACAATAGCTTAGACTCTTCGGGGGTTGAGTTTCTGTTACGGTTGTTAAATATAACCAGTATAGTGTAAACAATGGAAATTTCTGACAAATGGAATGATTTTGGACCTTCATGTTAACGGTTGTTCTGTTTTTTGTTTTGTTTTGTTTTGTTTTTGTTTTTTCCCCCCTCAGTATTTGATGAATGCAAACACTACGAGGTTCTTAATGACAAAGAGCGGGCTGCAGGGCGTCACAGGGGTAACTTCCTTAAGTGTGACCAGAGAGACCTTGTAACTCCCAAATGGTACAGGTTTACAGGAGCAGCTGGCTCTCAAATGCCAACGGCATGTGTTTCAAAACATTACTGCGGAACCCATGCGCCAGGATGGCTGAGTGGCTCACATCCAACAAGAGTCGGGCAGGTTGTGAATGGAAAGGTGTGTTTCCATTGGGGCTCCAACTGTTGCAATTGGAATGCAGCCATTCAGATAAAGAAATGCAACGGATTCTACGTGTACAAGCTGGCAAGGACACCTGTATGTTGGCTGAGATATTGCGGCAATGCCGGATTTGGTGAGTTGTGTATGACCTTTTTTCGAAAAACTTGTCTACAATCGTATCATTGACTATTTGAGGAAGTGTCCTATACTATCCGACAATCAATTTGGTTTTCGCAACTAGCATTCAACTGAATAAGGCATAGCTCTTTTATATGACAAAATATCTTCTGCTATTGATCATAATGATATAAAGGTGGGTTTAGTTGATTTGTTTAAAGCCATTGACATTGTTAACCATCAAATTGCTTCTTTACTATGGTATATGTAGCGTTGCATTTAATTTGCTTGAAGCTTAAGACTGTATAAACAACAAAATACATTTTGTTCAGTTTAATGGACTAAATTCATCCTATTCAAATATTAAGTGTGGTATTCCCCAGGGTTCCATTCTTGGAACTCTGCTCTTTCTAATTTGCATGAATGATATGTGTGATGTCTTGAAGGTTCTAGACTTCATTCTTTTAGCTGAAGATACAAACATCTTTTTCCCTCAAAATAAACTGTATCTTATCGAGAAAACGTCGAATGAAGAATTACTTGACTTAATAGACTGGTGACGAGCCAATAAGCTTTCGATAAATATCCTTAAATCAAATTTCATGGTTTTCAAGCCAAGACAGAAAAGAGAAACTTTTAACATTAAATTAGTGGTTAACCAATGGACTACTGATAGAGATAAAGAGTCTACGTTTTAGATGTCATTCTTGACGAACATTTGCCATGGAAACCGCACATTGCTTAGATCGCTAGGAATGTTTCAAAATCCATTGGGATAATCTATAGAGCTAGTCTCTGCCTACCTACTTCAACTTTATGTATTCTGTACTATAGTCTTGTATATCCTTACTTGCATTATTGCATTACGGTATGGGGCTCCACCTATCTATCTAACTTGAAACGGATTGTCCTACTCCCCAAAAAAGGTGTACGAATTATATCAAGAAGTACTTTTAACGCTCATACTGAACCTACATTTAGTTAAGCAGTTGAAAATTCTTAATCTATACAGTATATATCGTTTTCAAATAGGGAAGATTATGTTGTTATTTTACCTTTTTTTTTTTTTACAAGATCCTTGTAGGACCAGCAGGCCGTGTCAAAATGGGGCCACATGTGTCAATCAGAATAGTGGTTACAAATGCCTCTGCAAGCCTGGGTACCAAGGAATGAACTGCGAACAAGGTTGAATAGACAGTTCACATTAAGTCATCAGCTATAACCCAGAAAGACACCGTTGGAAATAGTCGACGATTTCCTTAACTCAAGTTGTTTATAATTAATTAATCGTGGGTTAGAACTCATCTGTTTTTCCCAATAAATAGCGTGTGCGTACTGTCATGCGCCGCGAGGTTATATACATTCCAAGTCAAGACTCAGTTGCGTGGCTTTTTCGAAGGCGACGCTCCCTCAGCAATTACTACATTTGTAAGGAAATTATAACAAGGAAACCTTGAGATCAAAAATAGAAACGTTTTGGAAATATGAATTTGCGACGCTTGCTTTTAGTAAACACATTATCCGGCGATAGCGCTTCTCCCTGCGTGATCCAATTGCAGGAAGAAAGAAAAAGAAGAGCCTTTGGTGACTTCAATCTAAAAACCAGTGATACTGAATACAAAATTCATAAATACTGAAGTCATATATTTTAACCCTAGTTGTGTTTTGGTTATTTTCTGCCAAGAAGCGTCACGTTGTTGCATGCAGGACTTTTCCAAACGGGATGTTTCATCGATCAAATGCGTTACTCTATCGTTTTCAATTTTCAGATGTCAATGAATGTCTTAGAAGGCCTTGCCGTAATGGCGGGACTTGCGAGAACCTATCGGGAAGCTACAGATGCAAGTGTAAAACAGGATATCTAGGAAAACACTGCGAGATCGGTTTGTGCTATTCACTTGAGTGTAGACTTCCGAATTATTTATAAGATGTATCCTTTTTTTGACATCTTTCAAGTTAGAGTCATTTGCTTATCTTTGCATCGCTCTTTTCTGCAATTAGATAAATGCGGTTAGCATGAAGGTTGTAAAGCGTAACTTCGTTAAGTCATGCCTATGCCAACGAAGAAAGTTTCCTTGTTTCATTCTTTTCATCCATGCTCGGGATCATCTTATTTGAATTCTGGTAATTTGGTTATATCAACTAAGTTGAAATTTTAAATTGGCCACCATAAAGAGTTAAAAAGCTGACGTTCCAAGCGTTAGCTCTTCGTCATTCACTCTGACGAAGGGTTAACGCTCGAAACATCAGCTTTTTAACTCTTTATGGCGGCCAATTTACAATTTCAACTTAGTTGATATAACCAAATTGCCTTGTTTTCCCCACCGACGCAGCAGCACACTTTCTTTAGAAACTTAGCCCATTTATTGGTTGTTTTCTGTTGGCCTAGTCTCATTTAATTAGAAGACGTGACTATTCGTTATCACAATTGCTTAGACTCCTCAGAGATTTAGTTTCTGTTACGGTTGTTAAATATAACCAGTATTGTGTAAACAATTGAAACTTCTGACAAATGGAATGTTTTCGGACTTTCGTGGTAACCGTTGTATTTTTACGGTTGTGTTTTTTTTCTTTTTTCTTTAAGTATTTGATGAATGCAAACATTACGAGGTTCTCAATGACAAAGAGCGGGCTGCAGGGCGTCACAGGGGTAACTTCCTTAAGTGTGACCAGAGGGACCTCGTAGCTCCCAAATGGTACAGGTTTACAGGAGCAGCTGGCTCTCAAATGCCAACGGCATGTGTTCCGAAACATTATTGCGGAACGCATGCACCGGGATGGCTGAGTGGCTCACATCCAACAAGAGTCGGGCAGGTTGTGAATGGAAAGGTGTGTTTCCATTGGGGCTCCAACTGTTGCAATTGGAATGCAGCCATTCAGATAAAGAAATGCAATGGGTTTTACGTGTACAAGCTGACAAGGACACCTGTATGTTGGCTGAGATATTGCGGCAATGCCGGATTTGGTGAGTTGTGTATCGCCCTTTTTTCTTTCTTAACTCAAGAGGAGAACGATCACCTAATTCACTCTGCGATTTTGAGCTTTCCTCAAGTATTTACATCGAGTATGCTACACGTGTCCCACTTGGATAGTTTTACAGTCTCGTTAACGGTTGTCCTCTAATGCCATTTGTCATGAGCCAAAAGAAATCCATTCTCGAAAAAACGTTGACCACACGAATGCCTTTTATTTACATCACATTTTCCCCCTAAGATCCATGCAAGGCAAGCAAACCTTGTCAAAATGGGGCCACCTGTGTTAATAAGAATTATGGATACACTTGTCTTTGTAAGCCCGGATACCAAGGGGAGAACTGCGAGCAAGGTGAGGCGCTTGAAATATAACTCCTATGATCACTATGAAGAAATTAGCTCCTAGGACTGATTAATGCAAGTGTCTGTGCAATGCATGGTAGACTGGTTATGAGAACATGATGTCATATTATTACCATATGAAAAGATGGATTACTATTGAAATATATTTGGACTGTGTGGGAAATTATCCTCTCTGAACATGGTGTCATATTATTACCATATGAAAAGGTGGATTACTATTGAACATGACATATATTTGAACTGTGTGGGAACTTATCCCCTCTGAACATGGTGTCATATTATTACCATATGAAAAGATGGAGTACTATTGAAATAAATTTGGATTGTGCGGGAACTTATCCCCTCTGAAACTTTATGGTGAAGAAAGTACCACAGAATAAGAATTATTACCTGTTAACTTTATCAACTTACAGATATGTCACGCCGAACAACATATGTTAAGGTTTTAACAGAAAAATTTTTTTTTTTCCTTTATTGTGTAGTCCGATCTAAAAACAGTAAAGGAAAACAGCCCTACAACTGCAAGATATCAACAACTTTTATAAGTTATTTGTCAAAAAGGATTGGAAATCTGAAACGACGCAACCGTTTGTACATATTCCATCTCAAAACACCTATCGATCTGTGGGAGGGCGCTTTTTGTCTCATTTAATGTCACAGTTAAGTTTGGATACAAACGTTCTTTTAAGAAGTGCTGATTTTTGTGTCTCAAGTTGAGCCTGCGATTGTTTCTTAGGCTGAAAGATAATTACTCCTGTGTAGAATACAGTGAAACAGAGCTTACACAGGTGAAAGAGGGCGTTCCTTTTTTGCATTTAAGATATTGATGAATGTCGCACGAGGCCTTGTAGGAATGGTGGTGCGTGTGAAAATGTACCAGGAAGCTACAGATGCAAATGCAAACCAGGTTTCCTTGGCAAACAGTGCGAGATTGGTAAATAATGGCTCTCATATGATTTTATGAATTTCATTGTCCAGTACAATAAACTTTGCCTCACTCTTGTTATTTGTTTGCATGTTTAATTTTTTCGTTGGTTTTATGTAAGGGGTCATTGATAGCCACTTCTTGTCTGTAACACAGCTTCATCGACAACTTATCCAGTGATAACCAAAAGTACTTATTGCGAGCTCTACTAATTTATATAAATGATTAACAATTTAGGATAATCCGTGACAAGCGAAGAAATCACTCAAATTAACAAATTAACGTATATTATCTCTGTCGGTGGTTAGTGGTGGATATTTACCTCGCCGCTTCACGGCTTGGTAAATAACCACCACCAACCACCTCCACTTCGGTGAATAGTTGTTAATTATTTAATACATCATATTCTATTTGTAACTCAGCATGACTAAGCAAAATAAAATAAACAATTGCACATTCTGTATGATTCTTGAGTTTCCACATCATTGCTGTACAGTTACTAAACACACATTTGTTACTCATTATAAAACACGAAAAAAAAAAAACTAAATAAATAAGGAAACAAAAAAAGTAAAGAAAATATATGATTATTGACTTCTCGTGCAATCATTTTCCATGAAAGATAAGTTCTAAATATAGTTATGAGCGGATCATGGCTATGACTGGAAATACAGACAAAAAGTTACAAAAAAATATCAGAGGAAGAAATTCAGTAAATCAAGATATTCGCACCCACTGATATCATATTCTCCGTCTTTTACTGTCTATATTCCTTTTTATAGCTTTCGATGAATGCAAACACTACGAGGTTCTCAATGACAAAGAGCGGGCTGCAGGGCGTCATAGGGGTAACTTCCTTAAGTGTGACCAGAGGGACCTTGTAACTCCTAAATGGTACAGGTTTACAGGAGAAGCTGGCTCTCAAATGCCAACAGCATGTGTTCCAAAACATTACTGCGGAACTCATGCACCAGGATGGTTGAGTGGCTCACATCCAACAAGAGTAGGACAGGTTGTCAATGGGAAGGTGTGTTTCCATTGGGGCTCCAACTGCTGCAATTGGAATGCAGCCATTCAGATAAAGAAATGCAACGGATTTTACGTGTACAAGCTGACAAGGACACCTGTATGTTGGCTAAGGTATTGCGGGAATTCAGGGTTTGGTAAGTCGATAGTTTTTCGTAACTTTTTGTAGTAGTATTACAGGATAGAGCTCTATGATTATATCGCGATGGAGACTTCTAGATTGCAAGAGAGGCCATGAAAAGAGGGTAGAATACAGCATGAAATGACAATATTTGTACGTTTCTATGATGCTTATTGGTTTAAAGCCTCGGCGTTATTATTGATATGATTATTGTTTTCTTTTAAACGTCACTGAAATCAGTATTATCATTTTGAATATAACTATTAGAAGTATTATCATTCCGATGAAAAATACTATGAGTTTGGGCTTTTCATTTCAAATTCCTCAAGATCCGTGCAAAGCGAGTAAGCCTTGTCAAAATGGTGCCACCTGTGTCAACCAGAATGGAGGTTACACTTGCCTCTGCAAGCCTGGGTACCAAGGAAAGAACTGCGAGCAAGGTGAGGTAGCGAGAGGAATAACCTTCAAAATCATTGGATCTAAAACTAGAGAGAAAACTGATGGCGCGTTTTACTTGTTAAACCTACTACAAATGAGACGTAGTTTGTTGGATAAGAATGGAAAACTACCCAACACAGAAAACTAAAAAACGTGTACCTCAGTCATATGATCAAAACAGTAAAGAAAGTTCCTTTTAAAATTCCATATACAGACGTTTGCGTATCCGACTACAGACAAATTAATTAAATAAATGACGAAGGAATTGACGAAATATACTTTAGGGTGAACTGATTGGGGGATTTTCGAGAATAAAGCTTGATGAAATCGTGGCTTCGAGGACTTTAGAATCTTTGCATGCTTCTAACTGTTTTTACTCTCTGAAATGAACTAAACAAATTAATTATAATAATAATAAAAAAAACCGAAAAGAAATATGTTCGATTTGCCTTTAGATGTTAACGAATGTGTCTCGAAACCTTGCCGTAATGGTGGAACTTGTGAGAATATTCCAGGGAGCTACAGATGCAAATGCAAACCAGGATTTCTTGGCAAGCACTGCGAGATAGGTTTGTACGCTTGCCTTTTATTTTCCTTTATTGTGATGTTGTGGTTTTTGCTGTTGTTTTGCTCTCAAGATTTTGCCCGTAAATTTGAAGTTTTTCTATAGCAAATTTCATCCGAGCCCCTTTTTTCTTTTATTTAGATTTACGGTGTAGTTTAGAAAAAAATGGTTTTTGGGAAGTATTAAAGGTAATTTGCGAATACATTGTATTAACTGGTACTAGGGCCGAATTGGGAGAATATTGTGATCTTTTTTCTTACTCTTATTGCAGTTTTCGATGAATGCAAACATTATGAAGTTCTCAATGACAGAGAGAGGGCTGCTGGAGTTCACAGGGGCAATATTGTCAAGTGTGACCAAAGGGACCTTGTAACTCCTAAATGGTACAGGTTTACAGGAGCAGCTGGCTCTCAGATGCCAACGGCATGTGTTCCAAAACATTACTGCGGAACGCATGCACCAGGATGGTTAAGTGGCTCACATCCAACGAGAGTCGGACAGGTCGTTAACGGGAAAGTGTGTTTCCATTGGGGCTCCAACTGTTGCAACTGGAATGCAGCCATCCAGATTAAGAAGTGCAACGGGTTTTACGTGTACAAGCTGACGAGGACACCTGTATGTTGGCTGAGGTATTGCGGTAACGCGGGGTTTGGTAAGTCGATAGTTTCTCATAGCGAATAAAGGCTGATAGTTTCGAAAGAAACTGTTTGGGGCTGCGTCGATGGGAGTAACGAAATAATTTGGATAAAGCAACAAAGTTGAAATGGTAAATTGGCCACCGTAATGATTACAAAAGCTGACGTTTCGAGCGTTAGCCCTTCGTCGGAGCGAATAGAGGAATAGTGGGTTGTGTGTGCTTTTAAAGGCAGAAAATGGAGCTACGTTATTGGTGGGAGCATGGCAACGAGAAAAACATGAATATATTAGTGGAATGAAAAGCGTTCGTTGATCCCTGTGGGATTTAGACTGCCGGTTTGAAAGATGAAAAATCCCACAGGGATCAAGGAACGCTTTTCATTCCACTAATTTATTCATGTTTTTCTCGTTGCCATGCTCCCACCAATAACGTAGCTCCATTTTCTGCCTTTAAAAGTACACACAACCCACAATTCCCCTATTCGCTCCGACGAAGGGCTAACGCTCGAAACGTCAGCTTTTCTAATCATAACGGTGGCCAATTTACCATTTCAACTTTGTTGATATATCCAAATTGTTTCTCATAGCGGTTTTATAGTAGTGTTACAGGATAGAGCTATGTGGTTATTTCGTGATGGAGGCTTTTGCCCTCGCATAACGAGAAAGATTTTGAAAAGAGGGTAGCATTATTCATAAAATGTTACGTTCTGTATGTTTCTATTATTCCAACAAACCTATACTGGGCTTTAAAGCCTTGGCATAATTATCAATGTGATGATATTGTTTTCTTTGTATCTTCATTTACATCATTGTCATCATCTTGAATACCATTGTTATCGTTATTATCACTCTGATCATAAATACTTTTACCATAACCTGTAGTTTTACTTTTCATTACAAACTCGTCAAGACCCGTGTAAAGCTAGTAAGCCTTGTCAAAATGGCGCCACCTGCGTCAACCAGAATGGTGGTTACACATGCCTTTGCAAGCCTGGGTACCAAGGAAAGAACTGCGAGCAAGGTGAGGTAATTCGAGGTATATCCTTAAAAATCAATGGATCTAAAATTAGAAAGAACAAACGGTGGGACGAATCATTTGTAAAACTTTTTGCAATTGGCAAGCAGTATGCTGGAAAGTAATTGAAAACTACTCCACGTAAAAAAAAAACAATCAAACAAACAAAAAAGAAAACAATGCACCGCGTCAAATGATATTTTTAATAGTTCATATTATTCTAAATTCGAAATATAAGCTTTTATACATATGATCACGGACAAATTAAACCAATTGATAGCGAAGGAATTGTAGATGTAATCCTTCAAGGTGAAGTGAATGTACGAAGGGCGAAAAAAGAAGCCTGCAGCTGATACAATTTAGGCTCCGACGAGCTTCGAACCTGTGCATCGTTCTATTTGTTTTGATACTGCCATGCATAAATTTATATACAAATATATCGTTACAAGAATAATGATGATAACAACAATAATTACAATGATAATAATAGTAATAATAATTGATAATGACAAATATGTTCGGTTTGCCTTTAGATGTTAACGAATGTGTCTCGAAACCTTGCCGTAACGGTGGAACTTGTGAGAATTTACAGGGTAGCTACAGGTGCAAATGCAAATCAGGATTTCTTGGCAAGCACTGCGAGATAGGTTTGTATGCTTACCATTTTTTTTATGTAATTGATGTAACTGTTTTACCTGTAATTTTGAAATTACACCTTTTAAAACTTTTTCTATAAAAGTTTTCTTCGAGCAGTTTCCTGCCGTTGAATTGTAGTCTAGAAACAAAGATAGTCTTGCTAGTATTTACAATATTCTGCGAATCAACTGCATTGTCTTAAGTGGCGCGAGGCTAACTCGGGAGAATGCCGTGATATTTTTATCTTATTCATATTGCAGTTTTCGATAACTGCAAACATTATGAAGTTCTAAATGACAGAGAGCGAGCTGCTGGAGTTCCTAGGGGAAATATCCTCAAGTGTGACCAGAGGGATCTGGTAACTCCCAAATGGTACAGATTTACCGGAGCAGCGGGCACTCAGATGCCAACGGCATGTGTTCCGAAGCATTACTGCGGAACTCATGCACCGGGGTGGTTGAGCACTGCGCATCCATCGGTAGTCGGGCAAGTTGTCAACGGCAAGGTGTGTTTCCATTGGGGGTCTAGATGTTGTAACTGGTACGCGAACATCCAGATAAAGAAATGCAACGGGTTTTATGTGTACAGGCTGACGAGGACTCCTGTATGTTGGCTGAGGTTTTGCGGAAATTCAGGATTCGGTAAGCGTAGAATTCGAGCCTGTATCTTCCATCTCGCTAGATAAAAGAAAGGTTCGTCTAAATGATAGCTTTATTCATATCTATCTCCACTATTCACAGACCCATGTAAAGCAAGCAGGCCTTGCCAAAATGGAGCTACCTGTGTAAATAACCAGGATGGATACAAATGCCTTTGTAAGCCTGGCTATCAAGGGAAAAATTGCGAGCAAGGTAAGGGAGCCAATACTACTGTCTTGCATTTTCTTCCTTTAATTTTTTTACCTTTATTGCTTGTTTTATCTATTTATTTATTCCTTTTTAAAATTGCGCGCGCGGAGATCCTCATCATACTCTTTTTACATATTGCTGAGAGTAAAACCTTTCGTACATTTTTCCAGATGTCAACGAATGCTCAACTAGGCCATGTCTCAACGGTGGAACATGTCAGAATTTACCAGGAAGTTACAAATGCAATTGCAAACCAGGATTTTTAGGAAGTCACTGCGAGACAGGTGAGCTGAAGTGATATATTTTTTTTCTGCCGAAGGCAACGATTGTCCTTTCGAGTACACTTTCTTCAATTTAATATATGTGCAACTTCACATTTACCAAATTCCAATCATTCAAGTATTCTTTGTTGGAGTAGCAAATTGGAATTGATCGCGTTTAGTCGCGAGTCGCACGTAGCCTCTGGCTAGATATATTATGATAGCTGAGCAATTTCTCTCAAAACTTACACAACCCTCTTTTGTAGCGTTTGATGCATGTTTGCATTACGAGACCCTTAGTGACAGGGAAAGAGCTGCAAGTGTCCATAGAGGAAATACCTTGAAATGTGACCAGAGGGACTTAGTAACGCCAAAATGGTACAGAATTACAGGGGCGGCAGGCACCATGATGCCCACCTCCTGTGTTCCGAAGCATTACTGCGGAACTCATGCTCCGGGTTGGCTGAGTACTGCGCATCCATCGGTAGTTGGGCAAGTTGTCAATGGCAAAGTGTGTTTCCACTGGGGGTCGAGATGCTGTAACTGGCACGCGAACATCCAGATAAAGAAATGCAACGGATTCTTTGTGTATAAACTTGCAAGGACTCCAGTGTGTTATCTCCGCTATTGTGGCAATGCAGAATATGGTAAGATGTATTGATGAAATGCATACTAATTTTTTCAGGGAATTAGACATACTAAGTTTAGTATATTTAGTAGTCCTAGTGTGTACGTAAAGTTTGAAGTGGTTGACTTGGTTGACTGTTTTCCTGCTAGGCGAGTGTAAAATAAATAAACCATGCAAGAATGGTGCAACATGTATCCAGAGACCAGATGGGTATTCTTGCGTCTGTCGTTCAGGTTTTCACGGAAAGCATTGCGAAAACGGTTAGTTAATAAAAGAGAAAAAAATAACTTAATGGTAGATTTAGGATAAAAGATGTTATTTTTCTGTTGCTCTTACTTTGAAATGTTGGCGAATATCGGCTTCCCAGGTGCGATAGTAGTCATTAAAAATTCAAATAAAAAATTGACAAAACGTTGAGTATTATTACGCTTAGAAAATGGTTATAGGTCATTAGAAAGGTTTATCATAATCAAATAATCATGAAGGTTACGTGCTCATGTGACATTCTGACACATTTTCTCATACATCGTGACTTCTTGCATTGAAGGCCATAAGACTTTGTGGTTATTGAAGTCTGCACAGGTTTAGCCTGAAAAAAAACAAAAAAAACAAAACAAAACAAAAAGAAACAAACAAACAAACAATTAAACGGTTCAAATGAATCTTATCACGGTATAATTCAACGGAAAGAAAAACACCACACTGAATCCTTCAAACTTAACTACTGTATTTAACAATTTGCAGTATTATATATTGCTTAAGAGCGACTCCAACAGACGATACAGTAATTATCCCCTCTGTAAAACTTACTTAAACCCTCTACAACTATATCTTAGCTCCCCTCTGACAAATAATAAGAAATCATCTATTCATTTCATCTATATATACACCTCCCGTGTGTCAATATGTTTTTTATTTAGATATGAATAAATGTTCAATAAATTGCATATGTTTATGGCATACTTTTATCAAAGTTACCTTTTTTCGTTTACCTTTCAGACATCAACGAGTGCCTAACAACTAAGCCGTGCAAAAATGGCGCCACCTGTATTAATAGCAATGGAGGGTACAGGTGTCTTTGCGTCCCTGGATTTCAAGGGAAAAATTGTGAAACAGGTACAAAAAAGTTCTGCAAAGTTTTTCAAAGCATGCAATCGTGTATTTGTGAAATGATCAAAATTGTACAAGCCCGACATAGAATGCCGAGGGTCCCTTGCGACCCACGGAAAATAGTACTCCCTATAAGAAACTATCTATTAATTCTTATCGTAAACCTTCCGTGTCTTATCATTATTTTTTTTATTTAGATGTGAATGAATGTTTAATAAATGGCATATGTAAGAATGGAGGAACCTGTATCAATACCCATGGAGGGTATCGATGTCAGTGTTTGAATGGATACCAAGGGAAGCACTGTGAACAAGGTACAAAGAATACTTTGAGAGTATCATATTCTGACGAATGTTATGCCGGTTGGGTCTTGAATAATGTTAATAAAAGCATATAAGCTATACGTGTATAGCTGAGAAATCTTCTGCTTACTCAGCGGAGTTACGACTTCATTTTAGCATATGCTTTACATAATCTTAAAGGTACCTTTGTCGTTTCCCACCGAGTTTACTAGAAACCATGGCACCCGAGATAAGGATCGCATTTGTCATAAAACATCGAAAAGGCAAATTTTCTGACTCAAAACCAGCGAAATCAGATAACCTTACAAAAAAACACCATAACGTTCCTTCAAGTGTTTAGGGTTTTTTTTTTCATACTTACATCAATGACATAGATCAGTCAAATCACGGAATGCACAAAGTTGCCACGGTTCAAAGCTACCTTTTCTTCTTTTGCCTTTCAGATATCAACGAGTGCTTAAAAACAAAACCGTGCAAAAATGGCGCCACTTGTGTCAATAACAATGGAGGATATAGGTGTCTTTGCGTCCCTGGATTTCGAGGGAAAAATTGTGAAACAGGTACGAAAAGTTCTGCAAAGCTTTGCAGAGCTTGCACAAGTGTGTTTGCGAAGCGATCAAAATTGTACGAAACTGGCCTATAAACCTAATCGATTGATGCACAGGGGTCCCTTGAAACCCACGGCAAATAATACGGTCTCATCAGTAATTATTCATTAATGTTCATTGATAATCTTCCCGTGCATTTTTTTTTTACTCAGATGTAAATGAATGTTTAATAAACGGCATATGTAAGAATGGAGGTACCTGTAACAATATCCGTGGTGGATATCGATGCCAGTGTTTGAGCGGATACCAAGGGAAGCACTGTGAACAAGGTACAAAGAGTACCTTAAGAGTATTATATTCTAATGAATGTTATGCCGGTTGTGTCTTGAAACATGTCAATGAAAGCTTTTAACCTTTATGGCTGAGAAATCTACTGCTTACTCACACGGAGTTACGTTTTCATTCGAACGTATGCATAGTATAATCTCTCGCTCAATTTCATTTTACAACTGATTATACAATCGGAGGGTGCCTTCTTCGTTGTACGAGCGGAATTTCAAGAAACCATTGCACCCGGTGTAAGAATTGCATTAGGTAAACACCGAAAAGGCACGTTTTCTAAATCAAATCCAGCTAAATCAGATAACCCTGTGTTGGCTAGATTTTGTAACATCGTTGTGTACTTAAAAGCGCCGTAACGTTCCTGCAAATATATATGATTTTTTTTTTCATACTTACATCAATAAGGCAGATCAGCCAAATCACGTAATGCGCAAAGTTGCAATGGCTCAAGCCACATTTCTTCGTTTACCTTTCAGATATTAACGAGTGCCTAACAACAAAACCGTGTAAAAATGGCGCCACTTGTGTTAACAGCAATGGAGGATACAGGTGTCTTTGTGTCCCTGGATTTCAAGGGAAACATTGTGAAACAGGTAGAAGAAGTTCTGCAAAGCTTTGCACAGCTTAGATACATGTATTTGTAAAGCAATCAAAACTGCACGAGCCTGAGATAGAAAGTTATGCGTTTAAAGCTGAAGGGTCTCTTGGGGCCCACGACAAATACGACTTTTTATTTGGAATTTTTAATTCATATTCATTAATTAACCTTCAGTGTATATTTTTTCTTATTTAGATGTAAATGAATGTTTGATAAGTGGCATATGTAAGAATGGAGGTTCCTGTATCAATACCCACGGTGGATACCGATGTCAGTGTTTAAGTGGATACCAAGGGAAGCACTGTGAACTAGGTACAAAAAACTAACGAGTCTTATGCTGTTCGGTTATTTACTTGGCTAAGAGATCTGCTTATCGGGTGGAAAGAAATTATGATTTGAGCAAACGCAATGCATATTCGCTAACTTTCGATCTCGATTCGTTGTTAATAGCTGCTGTCCATTCTAGGGTTTCTCCTTTGCTAGGGTCATTGATTTTTTTTTTTTAGAGGAATTTTCCCTAACGGCCGAAATTTTCTTGATTCTTATTTGGAAACTCTGTTTGCCTCAAAAAAAATTCTTCCACTGCAATCCAATCCAGTTCACTTCTTGAAAGCTACCGTGAGCAGTGCACTGAAATTGGTACCTTGTTATTCTTACCATAACATGGAGTGTCATGTCAACCATTCAAAAGAACGTGGTTGATTTAAACTGTTTTTCTTTTTTAACTTGTTGCAAGGCTAGCTAGGTCCAATAATACATTGCACTACAACATATAAAACTATTGTCTCTTGTACTTTATTATTTTTTTTGTTTGCTTTCGTAAGTAGCTAGAGCTCGATACCTTGCACAACGTGACAGATGCGACTTAAAATTAACCCTGAATTTACCTTAAAAAGGGCGTCATTAAAACGATTGGAATCCTTTTATTTTGAAGGAATCAATATTTGGGCTTTACCTTTCAGATGTGAATGAGTGCATAACGACAAGACCATGCAAAAATGGAGCCACCTGTGTTAACAAGAATGGTGGATATGATTGCTTGTGTGTTCCTGGTTTCAAAGGAAAAAACTGCGAGAGAGGTAAAGAATCTTTCTTCAAGATGATTTTCTTCCACGCACCGATCGATGCATTCCATGATAGATCCATGTAGTAATTCATTCATGCGTTATTTTAAATTCATCAAGGATGTTAATCTTCACAGTAAGTATTGTGCCTGAAAATGTGCTATCGGAAAAGTTGGAGAATAAATTTTTGTTTCTTTGATTCGTTTATATATGTATTTGTTTAACTATTTACTATACCAATTTATCAATTTTTCAATTAATTCATTCATTTACTTCTCTATTTGTCGTTTAGTTATTAAACGTCTCCACGCAGTTTCCATTCATACTTACCATGAACGTCCTTCGAAGTATTACCCAATGTAATAATGCTTCTTGATTTCTTAAATTAGATGTTAATGAGTGCATCACTAGACCTTGTTTGAATGGTGGTACTTGTGTCAATCAGCGTGGAAGTTACCAATGCGTTTGCCTGGCGGGATTTACTGGCAAGCACTGCGAAACCCGTAAGTAACCAATTCATGTTATGCATATTTGCTCTTTTCTGGGAGAAATTCTTACGTCGCCAAACAACCAAATGGCATAAAACCAATCAAAATACAAAGTAAAGAAATATACAAAGAAGCCATAAGCAAAAAAATTAATTGATAAATCTACATGTATCCCATGTAATACTGACTTAAGTGAGTAAGTGAAAAAAAAATAGAAATAAATAACTCAACCGCTCTTAGGGATCTCTGTTGGGATTTATGGGATAATCACCGCTTAACCACCCCGGTGCAAGCGTTCCATAGTACAACCGAGGAACACAGAAGTCTGCAATTTTATGGCCAGCGTCTCCTGAAAACCGGCACCTGGGTTGTTCCCATTCGCTCCCAATATGCCCGGCTAGGGCTTTTAAATCCTTACGTTTAGCGAAATTAAAGCGCGCATCTTTGTTTTCTAAAGAGATAGATCCATGTTCGAGTTACGTGATACTGGACGAGAAGGACCGTGCAGCTGGAAACGATGCACAAGTATATAAGTGCGACCAAAGGGATATTGTAACACCAGCTTGGTACCGGTTTTCAGGAGACGCTGGCGATAAAATGGCAGACTCCTGTGTTCCTCAGTTGCACTGTGGAACGCATGCACCGGGGTGGTTGAACGGGGATCATCCCATAAATGATGGGGAGGTCATCGAAAGACAAGTTTGCTTTCATTGGGGATCCAGTTGCTGTAAATGGTCTACTAAAATAAAGATAAAAAAGTGTAAAGGTTTCTTTGTGTATGAGCTTCAAAGAACTCCAGCCTGTCGTCTACGTTACTGTGGAAACTCTAATTTACGTAAGTAACAAAAAAACTACTATTTTTTTCACTGAATTTGTATGCAAAAACTGATTTGAGGACCCTTAAGATCTCTAGTCCAATACAGCAGATCCACACTTTTCGGGTTCCTATGGGAATGTTCGGTCTGTGTCATCGCATGATTTATTCCTTTTTTTTGCCATTCAGTCCGTCAGTCCGTTAGTCATTTTCAGTCTGTCTGTCTGTCTGTCTGTCTGCCTGTGCCTGCATCTGTGTCTGTGTTTGTCTTTCTGTCTGTCTGTCGATTCCTCTGTCTTTCACTCCAAATGAATGTTTATCCATACGTTGTTCTTCTCTAAACTTAAGCCGTGAACGAGTGCGTCGTTACAAAGCCATGCAAGAATGGAGCAACCTGTGTCGATATGAAACGTGGATACCAATGCCTCTGCGCCCCAGGGTTTACAGGAAAAGACTGTGAACAAGGTATTTTTGTGCAAATGAGTAGCAAAATATGGAATAAGTTGACAAAAAAAGGAATTAATGAATCAATGAATTGATTTAAGAGAAAGATTGAATGAGTGAATGAACGAATACCAATTCACACATCGTCGAAACAAATTCTAACGCGGAAGTTATTACGCGAAGTAATAAGCTGTTATATTAACTAAAAAGATGTTTGTGATTGGTCTCACCAGATGTAGATGAGTGCTTGATAAGCGGTCTGTGTAAGAATGGTGCCACATGTCAAAACAGCGCGGGTGGATACCAGTGTAAATGCCCCAGTGGATTCAAAGGAAAGCACTGTGACCAAGGTAACAATAAAGATAGAAAGAATCTAAAGAAAAATGTTCACTTACTGCTTTTCAAGCACTCTCATCGGGAGTGCTTGTACAGGATTCGAATCCATGACCTACCGGTATCGCTGAAGTCATGGGTTCGAATCCCGTACAGGCCTGAATTTTTTGAGATCTTATTTTCACTTCTGTTTAAGTAGTGCTCCTTACTGCGAAGATCGTTCTCATATGCGTTTATTATGTTTTTGTTGTTGTTCCTTTGTTATTGTCTTATATTTCGTCGTTATCGTTTTTTCTATTGTTGTTGTTGTTGTTGTTGCTGTAGCATAGGGACAATCGGATATGAGCTTCAGACTGGTCCTCTCTGGCATATAAGTACTGTTGATTCTCCGTCGATTATGGGCAAATGCACTAATTCGTTCTTACCCTTCCTCCTCAATTTTCATAACGGTTGTTGAGCAGTTGTCAAGCTCATTGGATGCGTGAAACATTTTTTGTCTTTTGATATTTAAAAGTATTGCCTATCTGAGTTAAGTTTTTAAGGTCTCTAGATCTTTCTGTTAATCTACTTTCCTAGATATCGACGAATGCGCTACAAATGACCCATGTAGAAATGGTGCCACTTGCATAAACATAATTGGCGGGTTCCAGTGTTCATGTGCAAGTGGATTCGAAGGGAAATATTGCGAACAAGGTATTTGCATTTCTATTTTTCTTTCTTTTATTTTGCAGATTTTCTATTCTGTCTATAGAAATAACATAATTTGTTTTGGTTTCTGTGTGGTATATTCTGAAACAATTATTTACCTTCCCTTGTGTTTTTTTTTTTCAAACATGAAACGTCCCCTTTGGTATTTTACGAACCTAATAGTCTCTTTGGTGTCTTATTTCCTAGATGAGGATGAGTGCAAGGTGAACCCATGCAAGAATAGTGCTACGTGTATCAATTTGATTGGTGGGTTTGAATGCCAATGTGTACCCGGCTTTCAAGGAAAGGTATGCGAACAGGGTAAGCATGTTTTTCGATGAATCTCGACTCAATGGTAAAAAAAGTTGTCTTAATCAAAAGGTGTCTTCACATTTAATTTGAAATAGAAATGAGGATTAATATGAAACAATTTATTCAATGACAGATATCGATGAGTGTCAGGGAGACCCTTGTTTGAACTCTGGCAACTGTTCCAACACACCTGGCAGTTACAAATGCGAGTGTATTAGGGGCTTTGAAGGCAAAAACTGTGAAAATGGTAGGTACTCAATTAAAACGAGAAGTAAAATTTGATTTAGTACAAAGTAGATTCAGATGAATGACAGGGGTCATGGAAAATTATACTAAGACACCTTGCCTTAATGTAGTCGCGCTGAAATGAAAGAAACTGCTCGTACAAAAGAGTGTATGGTAAATGAAAGTAAATCCAATTGAAATAATTGGTGTTTTTCGCGCTATTTTTTGTTTCGATGTATGGCACGATGATTAACTTCAGCATAAATTGCGTAAGAGCGTAACATGTCTGCTTGATAAGTTTAAACGGGGTGGCACTTAATAGAGAGCCAGGTAGACACTATCATAAATTGAAGCGTTCCAACTGATAAAACGGCTTTATCGGCCAACTATGTATGATTATTTCAGAAAGGAACGTAGGGAATATTAGCCCAAGATCAATCTTAAACCTACATTTTTACTTCATTTAGATGTAGATGAGTGTAAAGAGAGTAACCCCTGTCAAAACGGTGGCACGTGTCAAAACAAGAAAGGAACTTACCATTGCTCTTGCCCGGATGGAATTACAGGGTTCAACTGCGAGATAAGTATGTCATGCACATCAGATGTATCTCTGAGTCAAATATAGACTGACAAGATAAACAACGCTGTATATATATGGCATTCGATATTACTGATGGTAACACGGATAATGAGCTGTTTGCTGATTGTGTATTCATATGCGATAGTTTTTGTCTGTCTTTGTATACATACATCGTCTGTCTCCTTTCTCTTGCACTGAAACATCTTTTTCCTCTTCTTCTCCTTCTTTTTTTTTTATTCATTTATTAATTCTTAAATAGAAATCGCTTCCTTTTTGGTTACCGTGACCGCGTGGCTCACTGTTTCTTCCAGAAATATCCTTCAAAGAGCTAGGTTGTTATAGAGACCGGGCCAACGACCGCACGATGACACTGCTAAAGAACCTACGAAAGTACATTGACTGGCGCGACATGTCCAAGACAGTTAAAAACTGCTCTGAGATTGCGAGAGGCACACCGGGGTAAGAATTGTTTTTTTTCGAAAAACAGTGGTCACTTTTCTTACCTTAAGTAGCTTCCTTAGAAGCCATTTACATAGAATTTTTATCCCTCCATTATTTGTTTTACATTATGTCTTGTAGCTCTACAGGTGGAAGGAGTGGTTATTTCGACGAAGACTTATTAGGGCGTCCAGAGAACATCGCATTCATAATTTACCTAGATTATTGATTTTTTTTTTATTATTATTGTGCTCTTAGCGTGTACTACTTTGCGATTCAATATTACGGAGAGTGTTTCGGTGCGCCACCGGGGACCAAATATGATAAATTTGGCGAAGCATCCAATTGCTGGTCCGGTGTGGGAGGAGCAAACAGCAACTACGTTTACACCTTATATTAAAGACCGTAAGAGGTAAGAAAACATTGAAGACATTCTTAATACATCATGTGGCTGGTCAGTTTTTAAATCAGCATCTTAGCGAAGGCTTTTAATTTATAGAACTGCGTAATCTTATTGAGGACCTCAAGAAAACACCATCTAAATTTCTTCCGGGTAGCATGATCATTTGTTCACAAACGTATAAGTTAGAACAGATTCCTCTCAACATATTTTGATAAATACGACAACCATGCACATTACTTAATCATTATATCAGCATAGTCTACAAACCGAGCAGGCTGAGTCAGCTCTATCATCAGATCGTCACCCATAAACTACAACAATCGCATGCTGGCTCAGTTGGCTCTAGTTGTCGAAAATGAACTATCACCGAAAATATTTCTTTTCAGCCCTATTCTCAAACAACCAGGTTCAAACCCTTACTTTCTTAAAATATAACTGTCTCAACGTTCTATATCTAAAAAATTTTGCAGAAACGAGGCAATGAAGAGCTTATCTACAGATGGTACTTACTTTAAAGCTTACGAAAAATGTTATGAACAAAGATATCACCATTAAAATGAATGATTAATTGAAATGGTCTAGATTTCGTATATCTTAATCAGTGATTAAGACTTGGTCCAACTCTTGATTGACCCGTTTGGGCAGAGGTCATAAAACTCATTAAAATGGCTATGAAAACGCATTGGTTCTTTATGAACTTTCGATTTGCGAGGACGCAAGGAGAAATGATTATTAAGGTTGTAATGTCACTGTTAGAGAATCCAGAGAAGTTGTTCCCACAAAATTAATTGTAATTTATCAGACCGTTTATCGAGAAATTTATATATCTGGCAGCAAAGGTTACAAAAATAGATGGACTGCAAACGCGAATGAACATACTGATTCCCGGTCAAACCTTGAGTCAAATAACTTATTAACTTTCCTTCGTATCCTTTACTTACTACAACTTCAGACAGGCTCATTACACAACGCGGTAAACATAGTCAGTAAATGATTTTCCCACGGCATTATTAAAGCAGTTGGTAGATCTGCCTTCTCTAGCGTAAGTTTCTCCTGCCTCAGGACCTGACCAACATTCTGCATAATACTGGACAGAAAAATATACGTACCTGAGCAGAGAAAGAAAATCACTTTCCTGTATGCCTTATCTTACATGCGAATATATGGAAATAATAATGTGAACTGTGGGTTAAGAAATGGATATCAAAGCGATCTTCGCAGTAATGAACAATACTTGAGCAGAAGTGAAAACAAAGCCTGAAAAAAATTCAGGCCTGTACGCGATTTGAACCAATGACCTCTGCAATACCGGTGTAGTGCTCTACCAAATGAACTTGATATCAAAGCGATCTGCGTAAGTGAAAGTGAGAGTGAATTATTCGATACCTTAATAGCAGCATAGGCTGAATTGCTAAGGTCTACAGTGCTACCAAGGTTGAGATCGGACGTCAGCATTATCAGGCGCCTCTTGCAGCCGCTTTAGTCCATGTAAAGACCTCACCTTTCCCCCCACACATCCCACCCCAGGGGAGGATATCCATTCTCGCGCGTGGGAAATTAACGTCTCCTACCCCTAACCCTGCAGGAGACGGGACCTCCATTTATTCGTCCTTATCCGAGAAGACTAGAATATCTATCCATTTCATTGATGTCATAGAAAGGTAAGCAATTCTCCTCAGTTATTTTAGGACCATGAGTAGCCCGTTAGCCCTCAGACCATGAGTAGCCCGTTAGCCCTCAGACCATGAGTAGCCCGTTAGCCCTCTGACCATGAGTAGCCCTCAGTTATTTTAGGACCATGAGTAGCCCGTTAGCTCTTCGTCGGAGCTCCGACGAAGGGCTAATACTCGAAACGTCAGCTTTTATAATCGTAACGGTGGCCAATTTACCATTTCAACTTTGTTGATATATTCAAATTATTTCGTTACCCCACCGACGCAGCCCCAAACAGTTTCTTTAGAAACTATCAGCCTTTATTCAATACCCTGAACAGTCTCACACTGTTAAATACTTAGGATTAATTATCGATTCCTTTCCGTCATGGCATGATCATATCAATTATATTAGCAAGAAAATATGCAAAAGTCTAAACATAAATCGCAAAACTGAAACGACAGGTAACAATTCAGTCTCTTGTTAGTGTATACTATGCACTTGTATATCCTTATTTAACATACGGCTGCATATTGTGGGGTAATAATTACGAAGCTCCATTGTCTTAGTAAAGCTACGAAACAAAGCTATAAGAATCATCAAAAATGTACCAACTTGTGACCGTGTTACTCCCCATTATGTAGGCATTGGCCTAATCAAGCTTCTCGACATAATTAAATCGAGTACGTGTCAACTATTGTACGATCATGTTGTAGACAAAAAATCTTCTAATTTTGCACTTTCTTTTGTGTCTGAGACCATGATTATGCCACTAGAAATACATATTTGCAACAATTGAACCCTAGCCCCTTCAGAATAGATATAAGGAGATTATGTCCAAAAGTTATAAAGTGCTACTATTGGAATTATATTCCTATACGGGAGAAGCCTACAAAAAAAACTTTTTCAAAAGAGCACTTTTCTTACATTACCTTTCTCAGTAGTGATTAATGTCTTCCTCTGAGCACGTTTTATTTACGTATTTGCTGTTTAAGGTGTGATTCCTATTCCCTCTCTTATATTTGTATCTTATATTTGTATCTTATATTTGTATCTTATATTTGTATCTTATATATGTATCTTATAATTGCATCGCTTCTATTTAGTGTATGAAAAAATGTAACTTAAAGTAAAGGGCTTCTGATTAGCTTGCTATATTATGCCCTTCTCCATCCTCTTATCTTACATTTAATTATTCATTAGACTCTAATTTGTTGAAATGGAGAAAAAAATAAATACAATACATATATCTTATTAACCAAGCGCGAGGGGCGTACTGGGAGAATATCGGCCTGAGCGAGGGCCGATATTCTTCCAGTACGGTCCCGAGCAAGCTTGGTTAATAAGAGATTTATTATACGACTGAAGTTCAAAGGGACACAAGTGCGGTATCATTCGGGAGCATTCGGGACAGTGCCCGGTCCAATACTGAGAGAATATTGACCGGCAATAGAGCATTTTGGTTGGTTGATTTTAGTAATTGGCCCTCTGACTGCCCGAGTCGTGTAATAATAATAATAACGTTTTCTATTTAGCGGATTACTTACTAAATGGCGGATGTCACGGTTGGCATGGATTGATTTGAAACTCTTTACGGTGGTCAACTTGCACAATCAACTCGGTTAATAAAACCAAAATTACATTGTTACACTGCCCCACCGACGCTGTACAACAGTTTCTTTAGAAACTTACCCCCACACCCCCTGGCTACAGATGAGAGTCAATTAGTAACAAACAGATATCGTGAAATTATCGATAAAATGTTTCATCAGTGTTTCATCATTTTTCTCCATTACAGCTGTATGATATGGCATTCTTTAACTTCATCAAAAAACTACCTTAAGAAATCTGCATGAATTAATTATGTCCTTTGGTCGGTCGATTTGCATTTTTCAGTGGCTCGAATATTTGTAGTGCGATTTTAATTAGAAGTTAGGCGTAAATTCGCGTATGATGCACGCTAAGGCATCACGAACTTTCTAAGTGCGCTTCTTCAGCTAACATTTGTGACAATGCAAACACGTCTCTCGCTCTATCTAATTCATCTTCTTCTACCTCCTTTTTCTTTTAAACAATAGACACTTTCTCTACGCCTGGTTGTCTTTTTATCATTTTAATTTCTTTTCCTTGTCCATGGTTTGTCATTGACAGATAACTGGCAGTCTTTGATACGATGTCGGTGGAATTCCCACTCTATGCAAACAGCAGTTTCAATGAAAGAGTTCGTCCTAATGAAAACGGTCTCCCTGTCTTGTTTTATTGTGTAGAATTTAACACACTAATCACTTCTTTACACTTCTTTAGTCAGCTGTCATTTTGAAAGTAAACATAAATGGGATACTATTTTAATTGTTGACGCAAGGGCTTTGGAAATGTTCAGTAAAGAACAAATACTGCGAGAAGACGATGAATCGACACAGCACTTGCGAAAATCAATTGTCATTCCTGCTAGTTTTAATTATACACAATTATCAAGAAGGGCCTGTTCCCGAGCTGAATCGAAAATGAAAAAGAAAAAGTAAAAAAATTAAATTAAACTACGCCTCTATAAAATAAAATGGTATTTAAAATGGTATTATAGACTTTCTCGCGATTATCTTGCATCCTATAACTCGCTGATTTATTCTAGATAGAAATTACCCTAGTTAGAATCGAGGGCCTTCTATTTCAACTTTAAGAGCCTTAGTTGATTATTTGCGGGTAAAAAGAATTTCCCGACACGTGTTTTTTTGTCTTTTTTTTTTGGAAAAATTATTTTTTCATACATGTAATTACGATAAGCAAGGAGAGAGATATATATATATATATATCGCTTGGACTTAATTATTTTCTCTGTATGTCTTGGCTCAGGACCTTGGAACGACTACATTTCTATCGATATTTGATGGATAACCTTACTGAGGATTTTTGGAATCGATATACGTGTACAAGTTGACAACAGAAGCCTATTTTGACGCTTGTAATATTTCATCAAAATCCTTTTTCGCGCCGGAAATCACTACGGAAAGTAAAGAAAAAATGATGAAAATAACGACATAATAATAATGATAATAACGGCAATAATAATAGTAATAGTAATGATGATGATGATGATGATATTCTAATGTCTACATTTATTTGATTTAGATTAAAAAAAACTTATGAAAATTTACAAGATAAATCACCTATGAAAATTTATGAAAATGTATGAAAATTTATGAAAAAATCAACTTTTGAAAATTTACAAGATAAATCAACTAAAATAAACAAAACTAAACGCTCACAAATTAAACATTTAATTTCTTGCCAAATTAAAGTTTATATCTAAAACCCCATTCGATAAAAAGGCTGTTTTTAAAACGTTCGGTGCACATTTTCGGAAATTATTCACACTGATTACGTTGTCTATGATTAGCTACCGTATAAAACGGAAGAGATTGTATTGGGAAAGCTATTTAGACATCATTGTGCGACAACGATCTGGAAATCTGATGAATATTGTCTTGTCCTTACAGAGCTACCAGGCGGAATTGCCCATGACGTTCTAGCACCTTTTGAGTAAGTTTCAGTTGCTGTCCACACGACGTTCGAAAAAAACTAATTTAGATTATTAAAACCTCGAAAACAAGAGCTAAGATGAGGTCCAAATCGAGGTCAGTAAACATTAAAAAAACAAACAAAAAAGTAACCGTGGGAAAGTTTGCTTTTACAATCAGGGTGTTGAGTGTTGAAGTCAAACAAATCAATGTGATCTCCAGTCGAGAAGGATAGCGCACAGCGTTATAATGTATTGTAGAATCATCTTAATTGAGGTATCGACGATTAAAATATGTCGTATAGGTCACAAAAGCGTTTTAAACTTCTCCTTAGTTAACAAGGATGTGACAATTTTCTTCCGTTCAATTTTTCATTTTCTAGAAACTAAATCATTTGATTAGTTGTCTATTTCAAGTCAGTCATTGCCAGTGTCGTGACCCTTTAACCATTCGATTCTTTCTTGTCGAAAGGAACACAGGGAACCCAAAGTAAAGCAAAGAGCGATATGACCAAGGTTTGATCCACCACACGATGCATACTCGACGATCTTAAAAAAGCTCATAAAAATGTTGGGCAAATTGCTTAAAATTTCTAAAGAACAGAACAATGTTTTCCCTGTAGCACTTGAATGGGTTAAAACTTTAATTAAAATTGTAATACCGTGCACTCGTTTCATTTGACAGGTCTGTCAGCAAGGATATGCAATTAGGCCCTAGACCAAGGAAAATATTTTGCAATGTGTTTGAACGAGTTCAGACTTGTATCCTGACTGTAACCAAAATGGAGCTCGAACTTCCAGAAGTTAGAAGGCGATCAATACGACGCCGAGAGGTCTTCATTGTCGTTCTTTTGGTTGTCCTTTTCTCAACTGCGGCGTTTCTTATTGGCTATTTCGCAATGAAGGCTGAGAAAAACGCTGTAATATGCCGACCAGGCAATGGAGGAGATAATAACGGCAACAAAACCAAACCCACTCTTCCATCCAGCAAGGAAAAGTACCATGACATGTTTCAAGAGGAAGTACAGGCCAAAAACCTCGAAGAAAACCTCAGGTGAGAGCTTTCCTTAACTTTCCTTTAAGATTTACGATACAAAGGGATCTAAATGCATTGTTTATCACCTTGCTGATGATAGAACGGAGAGTGGCACATACATGTTTATAATTTGACACTACATATATCTAAATGATAGAAAATAGAAAGCGGTTAAAAATGTCTAAGCATAATTTCGCATTATTTTTCACCAGCCTAACCTTGACACTCTTTCTTTCGACTGATGCCAAATTATGATAAACTTATTTAATTACTCTATCCAAACGCTTAACTTGCGGATAATACAACCAAACAATTTAGTAGCTACCTTTAGGCAGAACAGATTACTTGTAGCCTCACAGAAGTACGGCTCATAAAAAATTCCGTTCCTGAATTAGAGCTATCCTTAATTCTGACGTGATTGACATGCGGGGGAGAAGACACCCCAAGGATTTTTATCATACGCCAAGCATTCATGCACTCTAAACATAAGATTAGAATTTGCTCATAGAAAAGAGTAGGAGCATGGTAATGATGTTGACTGCAACACGAGATTATGCTAAATGTTTGGTGAACTGATCCTCTTAAGGGATACTGACTGAAATATGTAGTCGATTTCTAGCCGGCATGACTTTTTTCTTCCAAATGAGGTTATTTTGGAAAAATAAGGTAAAAAACTTTCCTAATGCATGAATTTCGCAACTAGAAAAGGAAATAAAAAGACACTGATCAATGTGTTTTCTTTTCAAATAAATAAATATTTTGCTTTCAATTTAAGTTTCTGAAACAAATAAAATGCTTCGCCAGCTATGGTAACGAGTCATAAACGTAGATAATCGAATGCAACCTGAGTGATTTTTTGCTCATAACCAATTGATATTAATGATGCCGACCAAAAATAAGGTTTGTAAAGGAGAAGGAACTGAAAAGTAGACTTTCTTCACCGAAAAAAAAAATGATCCGAGTTTGGCAGTATTTGTGACCGCAAATGGAGATGGTGTTTGTAAATGTGTAACTAATTATATATGTTGCTTAGCTTACCCCATCAGGGCTCGTTGTAGATTAAATGATAATTTCAAACACTGTGCCCGTTAAATTGGAAAACGGCTTTTTAAATTAATCTGCATCAAAAGATCTGCGTTCACACGGAAAAACAGATAAAAATATCGGTGTCCACACCACAATGATGAACCGCCCGATAAAGGATTAAATGCAACTTTGAACATGCGCGCTAAAAGCCGAAGCTTTGCCCGCTAGTTGTGAGCGTCGTATTATATTTAACAATTATTCCACGAGCGCGCGTTCGATATGAGATAATAGATAGCCAACGAGGCGCGCAGCGTTTTCGAAGAGCTCCGTTCTCGGTAAAAGATATCCATATACACGAGAAGATTGAGCCGGTATTTTTCAAAACTATCCACCCCAACCGCCGTTTTCGGAAAGCTTCATTTTCGGTGACGAATTCCTCCGACGGTGTTTACGAAATTATCCACTATAACCGCCGTCTTCAAAAAGCTTCGTTTTGGGTGACAAATTCCTCTGGCGTAGTTGTGGACAGTATGCCTAACTGAGTAAATGCAGCTGCGTTTTCGAATCCAAGCGTAGCCGTAGTCTCAGTATAACTTATCCAGTCTATATGTAAGGTTAAAAATGCACGCTCAGTAATGAATTGCTTTTTTGATTTCCAATACAGGTTCATTACATTAGAGCCTCATATGGCTGGATCGCGGCGTCAACGAGAACTTGCTGAACATATAGCAGAAAAATGGAGGGTGTATGGGTTTGATAAAGTGGAAATGCCGGAGTACATAGTACCACTCTCTCTCCCTCAAGAAGACAAACCAAACAAAGTAGAGGTGTTTGTAAACGGAACGAAATCGCTGACAATTCTGGGAAAATTAAAGGCAAGTGTACAGTTTGGTGCATAATAGCCATTATCTCTCGGTATGTTACATTGGCATTGGGGGCCTCTCTTTTGTCGAAATAGAGTTAAAATAGCCAGCCAATAAAGAAAACAAAATTCCACTATGAAAATTAAAATCAGGACGGAATGTCGAACATCTAAGTACTAAAAGGGAAATAACTACAGTACCCTCTTAGTGCGTAGCGATTTGTAAGGCATTAAAAACTGAAACACTTAACACTTGAGGTATATACAAGTGAAAGTATCATTTGGTGAACGTTAGGGCTTATGTTTCCAAGAAACGATTTCGTAAACACAAGCAAACAAATGATCAGCTTTTTCATATCATGGTATAATATATATTTGAATTTCATTTTAAATCTCTTTTTTTTTCACCATTTTTTGTAGGCAAAATCTGAGCCAACTGCCAAGAAAGCATTTGACTATTTTCCATATTTTGCATACTCACCGAACGGAACTGTTGAGGGCAAACTCGTATATATTAACAAAGGATCCAAAGATGACATCGATCTCCTTTTAAACCGCACTAATGTATCTCTAACAAACAAAATTGTCATCGGAAGAGGAATTCATGCACAGGTAAATATAGTCTTATGAACAAAGGCGGTTAGTTTCTGAGGAAGCTGTGGTGCTGAGTTAGTTGGGAAGCATGATAAGATAATTAGCTAACGTAAAGAATTTCAAAGCTGACGTATGTTTTGCTGAACGAATGGAAGAAAGGGTCTGACGAAGGGTTTTAACGAAGGGCTAATGCTCTAAACGTTAGCTTTTAAACTCTTTAGGGTGGCTAATTTTTGAAGGGTTCTGACGAAGGGCTAATGCTCTAAACGTTAGCTTTTAAAATCTTTAGGGTGGCTAATTTTTGAAGGGTTCTAACGAAGGGCTAATGCTCTAAACGTTAGCTTTTAAACTCTTTAGGGTGGCTAATTTTTGAAGGGTTCTAACGAAGGGCTAATGCTCTAAACGTTAGCTTTTAAACTCTTTAGGGTGGCTAATTTTTGAAGGGTTCTAACGAAGGGCTAATGCTCTAAACGTTAGCTTTTAAACTCTTTAGGGTGGCTAATTTTTGAAGGGTTCTAACGAAGGGCTAATGCTCTAAACGTTAGCTTTTAAACTCTTTAGGGTGGCTAATTTTTGAAGGGTTCTAACGAAGGGCTAATGCTCTAAACGTTAGCTTTTAAACTCTTTAGGGTGGCTAATTTTTGAAGGGTTCTAACGAAGGGTTAATGCTCTAAACGTTAGCTTTTAAACTCTTTAGGGTGGCTAATTTACATGATGGACTTAACTGAAAAAACCAAATATCTCAATATATTCTAGTTTGATTTCAAACGAGCAGTTATGGCTCAGGTTAATTAGAACAGATACTTATGACCAGTTATGATCAGTTCACGACAAAACCCAGAAAGTAAAAGTGCTTCAAGGGTTGTTAATAATATTCAATCAAATGAAATGGGCATAGGTTATTGACATACATAAGTTAATTGACATACATATAGGTTAATTGACCACTCCCCATAGGGCTTTTCAGGGCCAACACCCACCCATCCCACCCCAGGGGAGGACATCCACTAAACAGTAATCTCGTGCGGAATTAACGTCTCCTACCCCTAACCATGCAGGAGACGGGACCTACGGTTTATTCGTCTTTATCCGAGAAGACTAGAATATCTATCTGTTTCTTGATTATAGAAAGGTAGAAAATTCTCCTCCCTTACTTTAAGACCATGAGTATTGGTCCGGAAAAAAAGAAAATACACAATTACTGGTAGAACCAGTAGTTCTCATTGTGGTCCATGCAAACAACTGAAACAAATAATTTGAATTGAACATAACATTATTACGAATCCCAACTGACCGAAGACAAACCAGTTGGCTATTTAGAAGCGTGGCCGAGGATTTGAACTCGGAGCTACTGTGAAACAAATCTAGGTAGTGGTCAAGGCGGGACTCAAACCCGGGAGCCGCGGATTGCGAGTTCGACACGCTGACCACTCGGCCACACTGCCTCCCGAATCGGAAAGTCATATTAAATGACTGCCATGGTGTATTTCTTTTCTTGAGTGGAGATCCTACATGGTTTCACACGAATTTCAGTCTTAAAGATAGAACACAAGCCAGCTGGGATGTTTTGCGATAAATAGTACATGTAGATTATTAACGATATCCCTGTTGTTTTTCATTTAATTGTATTGTCCCTTTTTCAATGCAGAGTACTCATTTCGATTGATAATGAAAGCATTCTCTTAGCTGCAAAATCAATGTAAAGTTAAAACACACTTATTTTCTAAAACACCGTCCCTTCCATAACAGACTGACTATGCGGTCGAACTCGGAGCTGTCGGAGCCCTTATATTTCCGGATGTGCACTCATCTAGACCAAATGGTACTTATCCCTACTCGTCAAAGGTCTCTGGCGATGCTGTTTTCGAAAGACCAGAGGCTGCAAACTTTGGTGACCCCCTCACTCGTGGATTGCCATCTACTAAAGGAATGTACCGAGGACCAAACAATTTGACTGTCTTCGCAGCAGTTCCAACACAGCCAATCTCTTATAATGATGCTGTAGAGTTACTAAGTCACCTTCAAAGTAAGAGAAAAATTTGACTTCGTTACTGTTTTTTGAAAGACAAAACTATTAAGGAGGAACCCAGTTATCTTTCATTTTTGTTACCTTTCAATCTGAAAACGGCCAGAGCGATGCTACTAAAACTGTTTTTGCATAGATTTTTCAACGTGAGACGTTTTCTCTATCCTATTTTTTTGCAAGTTCCACTTTTTTTGTAAACTTCCAATCTGAAAACGACCGGAGACGTTCTACTCAAAATGTTTTTTGCAAGTACTTTTAGCAGTGAGACGTTTTCTCTATCTTTTTTTTTTGCAAGTCCTCTCACTATTTTTCAATTCCTTATTTTTTCAAAGCCTTCTTTTTCGTATTTGCAGGCAATTTGGTTCCAAAAGAATGGCAAACAGAACTTAATGTCTCTTTCAGGAATGCCACAGGTCTCACCAGCTCAGACACAACTGTGCGACTTTCTGTCAATAACGTGGTAGAAACAAAATCTATCTATAATGTTATTGGAACCATTTATGGTCTTGAGGAACCCGACAGATATGTATTAATCGGCAGCCATCGAGATGCTTGGTTTTTGGGAGCCGCAGACCCCTCAAGTGGCACCGCAGCTCTACTGGAAATATCACGAGCTGTCAGCGGGATGCTTCGAGAAGGATGGAGACCTCGACGCACTTTGAAGTTCTGCAGCTGGGGGGCGGAGGAGTTTGGCCTGATTGGCTCAATAGAATGGGTAGAACAGAATCAAGAGATACTATCTGATAGAGGCGTTGTTTATTTGAACACAGACGTGGCTGTTGGTGGTAACTACGTTCTAATAACCCAAAATTGCCCCCTTCTCTCGACAGCCATATTTGATTGGGCTAAGAAAGTAAAAGATCCCAACGCGTATGGGAATAAAACCAGTCTATATGACATCATGGTGGATAGAATGCCTTCTTCCAGCAATCCCAGCGAACCTTATGTTGTACCATACCTTTTTCTCAGTGATTACTTTCCTTTTTATTTGTATTTGGGGATACCTTCCGCTGATTTCAGCTACTTCTATGGGCGTAACATGGAGCTGTATCCCGTCTACCACACGCAAGAAGATAACTTCTATTGGATGAAAACATTCATCGACCCAAAGTTTGAATTTCACGAGGCTGTTACAAAATTTGAAGGAGGACTGCTGATTGAACTGTCAGACACACCTATTTTGCCATTCGATGTCACACGTTACGCAAATGCGTTACTAGCCGGTTATAAATCACTTCCCAAAGAAATGCATAACGAAAGCCTTCCGACTGAGTATATTCAAAAAGCAATTTACAACTTCATGGAAGCCAGCCACGCTTTCGAACGAGCCAAGTCAAAACTAAATCCGGATACTACTGATCCATTACGCATACGCATGGTCAACGACCAAATGGTGCAAATCGAGAAGGCTTTCATCAGTTCTTCAATGCTCTCAGATCTTTTTCTTTCCAGTCACTTGTTTTCGCGCACAGCCTTTCCCTTCCCGGGGGTTTTGCAGGCACATAAAAACGGAAAAGGAAACATAAATGAAGTGAAAAAGCAGATGTCACTAGTTGTAGAGGCGATATCGTCTGCGGCGGAAATATTAAAACCACTACCTACCTAGGAAAGCAGATACAATTAAAGACCATCAACATGCGAGATTTTTTCTTAAGCCTACACTAGAACTTTTCAACGAAGAAACCTTGTCTAAAAGGGGAATAGATTAGGCTTGAAATAATTTGGAAGGAAAAATGGTTGGTTTCCGTCTTTCAATTTTAAGTGAGTAGTCCCACAAAACCGAAAAATACAATACTTCAGGGTTCTAAGATGGTGAGCCGGTAACGTCAAATTTAAGGGCTATCCTCAAAACTACAAGGATCTTCCATTTTACAGGATAAAAGCATTCCTTTTGACATGCAACGTTTATCATATCATATACAATGGCAGTTACTAAAGGTTAGCTCTAACAATAACATGATGAAAGAGCTCTCAAAATTTTGATTGCAACACCTCTAAAGAAGTCTTTGTATCTAAAATGTTATATTTCTTCTCGCTCTCCGAGCTCGAACACGAGAATTTTACCACCCCACTGTACTCAATATGTACCGTCCAAATGTCTATCATTGCTCTCCGTTGAGAGCTCCTTTCTTTACGTCATGAAAGAAATATATTATTTTTTAGCTACTTTATAGGTGCAAAAGTATTAACTTTTTAAAACTGTTTGAAACAGTTTTAAAAAATCGCTTGCTTCTTCGAGAGTCACGGGTTGCTTGGGATTAATGACTTGATGAGTTACAGATCGATACAAAACCGATCATGTTTACCATATGGAATTGAAATTTTAAAAATGATACAGATAAATTCATACATATGAACTTTCATCGACAACAGTAACTGAAATAAATGTGGATTACAGACTAAATTCATAATTAAGCTTTTCACAGATTGGTTCCTTCAACACACCTTATCAAGACACAATTTTAGTTCATCTAGAGGAAAGCCACTCAATTTTACTGCTGCCTTTCGAAGCGTTGATTATCAGCTAGAAGAAAGTAACCGCAAGCAAACCTGTTTTGGTCGATCACGGTGGCCTGGAATTATCAAGTTCATGTACTGGGAATAACTTTTCAAATTGCTTTTGCCGATGGAAATAAAGATGAAAGTAAAAGGAAATATAACGAAGACAATTTAGAATAAACATCATTTGGGATGATATTAGAGTCTTAAGACTCAGATGATATCAATAATTATTTTTTCGAGTTGTTGATACCTCAATATAAAACAGCAACCTTACTAAAAATAAAGAATGAGGTGAATGGCGGGAAATCAAGTTCGTCATAAACATACAACCCACTCGTTACTTTCAAGTGCGAGTTACATATTTTATTTTTTAAATTATAGACCATCATGTAAATGCATACCAAAATGTTTCAATCTACTTGTTGCACCTTTCACTAATTGTTCATAACAATGCAGCCACATTCAACTCAGCTACTAGAAAAAATTGCTTTTCGTTTTCTTCAGATTAGATGATCCTTTAAAAGGGTACAAGATAAAGATCACAAGCGTCAGACATACTTTTCCGCAATCGTGACTACGTATAGAAGAGGGTGTTAGTAATGCTTCTTAAAAAGTTTAAATTTTCTGAAAAACAAACCATTCTGAATATTCTATTAAGGTTAATTCAACAAGGCCCGATGCTAATCGTAGCATGACAAATTTGGCGATTTCTGAAGTTAAACTTGAAAATTGCAGACAATAAATGCACTGGAAAACATTCAGCTGAGCCTTAAAACATTCTTAGTGCTTAGACAACGATGGAAACTCCAGAAAACTGTCATTATTCTCCTTTATTTCTGAAGAAGAAAGGCCTTTTTTTAATTAAAGATAGTTTAAAAACCAAGGTAACGAGTCACATACCTAAAGAACTTTTTTTGATATATTTTTAATTGGGATAGATATTTTGGTATCAAGAGGAAATATTTCTGTTCTGAAGTAATATCTTTTTGCTCAGATGTGGTTATTTTTGCATGGCACGTGTGGGCCACCGTGGTTTTGATCTAATGGTTTCCTTTTTTTTTTTTTTTTTTTTTTTTTTTTTTTTGTATGATCATTCAATAAATGCATAAGGAAATGAGGATTCGGATAAAAAAAGGGTAAATTGCCATAGACGATTCAGTGCGTACGCTGTTTACAAAAAAAGTGTAAGCATTAAATATTTTCAATTCTCAAATATTATGTACTTATTAACTGAGTGGGAGTAGACGATTCTGCGTACACTTTTTGCAAAAAAAGTGTAAACATTGAATATTTTCAATTCTCGTGTATTATGTACTTATTGACTGAGTGGGAGGGTCAGACGGGAAAAATAATTGGCTCGAGGTCATCATGGACGGACCGAGCGCAGCGAGGTCCGTACCTCATGATATCTTCCCGTCAGGCCCGACTAACCTCAGTCAATAAGCATTTTATCGTATGTCTACTAAGTGTTGAAAATTTCAACCTAAAAGGACGTGATGGAAGCGAACCTTTCAAGTGGCACGGCAGCTCTATTGGAAATATCACGATCTGTCAGCAAGATGCTTAAAGGTGGATGGAGACCTCGACACAATTTGAAGTTCTACAGCTGGAGGGCCGAGGAGTTTGGCCTGATTGGCTCAATAGAATGGGTAGAACAAAATCAAACAATTCTATCTGATAGAAGCGTTGTTTATTTAAACACAGACGTGGCTGTAGGTGGTAACTACACTCTAGCAACCCAAAACTGCCCCCTTCTCTCGAAGACCATAATTGCTTGGGCTAAGAAAGTCAAACATCCCACCGTGTAAACGAATAAAACTAGTCTGTATGACATCATGGTGAAAAGAACGCCTTCTCCGAACAATCCAAGCGAGCCCTATGTTGTACCATACCTTTTCCACAGTGATTACTACCCATTTTGTATGTATCTGGGGATCCTGTCTGCCGATCAAGTTCAGCTACTTCTGTGGAACTGGAATGGAGCTGTACCCTGTCTCTCACACACACTAAGAAAATCTTACAGCTGCTGCCGAATTCTGCTTAAGGTAGTACTTTTACAAGTATCATGAAGCGCCTGAATTTATAAGACAAAGTTAGCGGCTATTATGGGGGCCAATGACCATAGAGGCTTGGCCGGACTTACGAACAGGAACAGGCGAAGTTGTGAAAAATTTAAAACGTGTAAGGCATGGTGAGAGAAATATTTTTGGGGGTCACGGTTTTAACTAAAAAGGTGGTGCTCCCTAGATTAGTTTTAAATTTTTTTTAAAAAAAAAATAATTAAAAAAGAAAGTGGTTAAAAAACCTTTGCCTGTCAATGAACACCAATGGTAACGATACACGAGTTTTGAAACTGTGCTTACTTTTGGAATTGTTGCATAATGGTTATGTTACAGAACTCTTTTCTCGATTGATACTTCGATCTTATTACTAGGGAGAAATGGCTTTGTAGGCGGAAAATACAATTAAAAAAAAAGAATTAGCCCGTCGTTATTTTCACGCGTGAGTTGTTTTTTAATTCATTGAGACTAAAGACCAATACTTAAAGACATTTTATTAAAAGTTTTCAGACTCAGCAATAACAATAACAAGTTTTTTTATGCTTCCTCCTGATTAGATGATTCCTTCAATCCTGCAAGATGTAAACACTCAGGGCTCAGACAAAAGTTAACTGGAATTGTAACTACACGTAAGAGTGGCTGTTGGCACTAGTTAAAAAGATAAGGTTTTTGAAAATAAACTATGCTTTATATTCTAGGAAGATGGCTCAGTATGTATAACCAGTTTAAAGCCTAAAAAAACTAGGTTTGTATGTAGTTTTAGCAGTTGTTCTGAAATTGTTTAAAGTTTGAGCAAAAGATGATGATATCTCCTTTTCCCCAATACCCAGTTCAGTGATTGTAACAACACACGAATGGTTGTTGGTGGAAAAGTCAGCAATGGATGGGAAGGGCCTATGATTCTTTTGATCTAGGTTGTTGGTAACCTGTGATACAAAAATCGTTCGCCTGGGAAACGCCCATTAAAAACGACATTAGGAAGCTTTGGA